AGTATTGTTGATCCGGAGCTTGCAAAATCTAAGTTTGGAGTTCACACATGCTTTTATGATGAGTGCAAATAATAAATTCTATGCCTATAAGATATTGATGCCATTTACAAACTGTTTTAGTTAGAACATATCGATCTTTGATATATGTAGATGAGTGGGATAATCTGAAGCCTAATTTATTACTGAAGAATGAAATGGGATGATTATTTTGCAAAAGAATAGCTTCAATACTGGCATTGGAGGCACTTGTCCTAATAATGAATGGTTAAGTAAAATCAAATAATATTAGGCTAGGCCAGGTGCGGAGATCATTGCAAGTTTCAAGTACTTAAAGGAAGTAGAAGCAAGAATATCTCATTTAAAAGCATCCATCTTCAGTAGGTTTGTTAAGGGAGCAACAATAGAAGCATAGTTAAATATAAAGTGACGATAATATCATGTTAAACCCAAAAAAAGAATGTAATTGTCGTAATGATAAGGAATGGTCCAACTTGTGATGGCATTAAGTTTGTTAGGGTCAGTTTGCACAGTATTAGTTGAAACAATACGACCAAGGTATTCAATAGAAGTTTCACAAAATAGGCATTTGGTTAATTTTATAAAAAAAAATATTAGCCATTAAGCATTCGAACATAAAAAAAATATTATAATAAATTTATGAAGGTAGGGGTGAAAGGTTTGATTTATTAATGCTTGAAAGGTGGAAGGTGCATTTGTTAGGCCAAAAGGAATTATTAAGAATTCAAAGTGAATATCATGTGTGCAGAAAATAATTTTACGAATATCTTTTGGGTGCATTTGAACTTGATAATATCCCGAACGAAGGTCAAGCTTGGAAAATAAGGAAGAGCCATTTAATTCATCTAAAAGTTTGCCAATAGTGGGAAAAGAAATTTTATCTTTGATAGTTAAGGCATTAAGAGCTATATGGTCAACACAAAAATGCCAAGTACCATCACATTTTTTTACTAGCAAAATTGGGTTGAAAAAAGGGCTATGACTGGCAAATAATTCTTGAATTTAACATTCCAACTAACAATTGTTCCATGGAGTCTTTTTGAAAATGAGGGTAGCAGTATGAGCAGATGCTAACCGTTGCGACGATCAATTAGATGCGTAGGGATAAACCTTGTGGAGGTGAAAAATGATGTTCATAATGCCAAAATAGGGTACAAATGTGGTTGAGAAGTTTGTAGTGAGTTCAATAAGTTGATTTTCCAAGGATTTGATAGTAAGATCTACGGTTATGTCTATTGACTGAGCTTGCATAGTTAAAATTTGAAGAGAAGGTGGGTGAGAGATAATTGCCTAGAATTGATGGAAAGATATGGGATCTTACATTAATCGAGGTTCTCCATTGAGCGTTATTTGGCGGTTATGATAAGAGAATTGTATGGTAAGATTGTGATAATTATGTAAAACAGAGCCAACAAATTGCAATCATTGCTTACCAAGAACAATATCAGCACTATGAATAAATAGAACAAATAAATCTAAAGGAACATGATATTCTTACATGGTAATGGTGACTTGAGAACATTTGGATTGGTATATTTATAAATTACCATTGCCGATGGATACGTTGAAGTGTTTAATTGGTTGAGTTGAAAACCGAGTTGTTTGATGAGGTTGTCATGAATAAAATTATGAGTGTTCCCGCAATCAATTAAAATATGAACATTGTGTTGTTTAATAGCGCCGGAAAACCGAAAAGTGTGAGGGTTGAAATGGCTAAAAAAGGCATTGAGCATGATTTCACATGTAAATTCTTGGATATCAACCTCTATAGGGGATGGAGGAGGATCGTCAACAAATTTAGTTTCATCAGTGCCTAGTAGTAAATAGAATTTGTTAGACAACGCCATTGTAGCCCAAACTTAGTGTCGCAATTAAAACATAGTCCTTTATCTCTTTGATATTGAATTACAGTTGGGGTAAGTTTCTTAATAGGAAGGGTGGGTGGGTGGGTGGGTGGGTGGCTTTGTAGGTCGAAGCTGACGTGGTTGATTAGTGAAAGGTGAGGGGCTGAAAGACGTTTGGGTGGTTGGTGGTGTAATTTTGTTGGAAGAAAGAAAAAGATGTGGTTTCTGCCATCGAGAAGAAATGAAGGAAAAAATCTTGAAATTTTGATTCATGACAATGAGCCCCATTCCACGCATCTAATAGAGTGATAGGTTTGGCTAACAAAAGTTTCCTATGCAATTCTTGTTTAAGGCCAAAAATAAAATAGCTAATTAGTGTTGATTCAGGAAGCTTGGAATCTTAAAAGCTAAATTTCAAAAGCCATATGGCATATACAAGAAATGAGGAAGTTTGCTTAATCTTGAAAGATTTCCATGAAGGTCTTCATAAAGTGAAATACCAAATCCCTGTTGTAAACAAAAAACATAAATTTGGACCATGAAAGATTATGACCTTTCATTTTTAACCATTGATACAAAGTGGCGGCAGGTCCTTCAAGATGAAAACAAGCTGTGAGAAAAGAAAATACTTGCATGTTCACCAAGCACTTACACAAGTATGTGCAGTTGAAGCAAAAAGAACTTCTGACTAGAAATTAATTAAAGATGAAAGACTTCTTCAATCTGAAGAAGGGTGAAGTCAATAGATTCTGTGTTGGAATAAGTTAAAAAGAATTAAATGATTGGGCTAAAACAAGCCTATGCCGACGGGAGATGAAATGATTCATTATGAAGCAAATACAAATGTATAAATAAATAAGGAATTTGAAAATTACTTTTACCAAATATAAGTATATCCATTATCGCCAAAAAGAGCAAGAAGCCCCAAATCATCCAAGACAAATAAAAGAGAGAATAATCCAAGAGAGATAATAATGAGAGAATTAAACTTATATCGAAAATTATTTACTTTAAAAAAATCCTCAAAAAAGTATGTCACACGTGTATATAATTAGGTGATCAATTGTCCAAAGAAGTAAATGCATGGAGGGCAAGCTAAGAGGATTGAGAAGCTACAATGAAGAATTATGAGAGGTTCACAATGCTAATGAGAGGAATTCCCTACAGGATTGGTATGCTAAGGAAAAAGATTTGTTGAAGCCAAGAAAAACTGTCGAGATGAGCTTAGAAGAGCTCTTGAAAATATAAAATAATTTGAAATTGGTACCCATTAAGCTGAATTGGTATCCATTAAGCTCTCGGACACTACAGGAAAATCGCCCATTACCGACGGATTTTTCTGGCGGCTTTCCGGCGGATTTTCGATGAATTACGATGAAATATGTCGGACTAATTTTTCTACATATTTTCTGGCGGCCTTACTGGCGGATTATAATTATTATATTTTAAAGAAAAAAGTGTGGCCATTTAATAATTTTGCCTTTCCAACAAACTAGTTAGGTCTTTAAAATTTTTTTCATACTCACTTCGACTCCCACAGTAGATGAGAAGCACAGGAGGGCAGCAGGGAAGCGTCCGCGGACAAGCAGAGGGCAGTGCGGGAGGCAGCTGCGCTGGTAGGCAGGGCAGCGGGCATTCGGGTGGGCAGAAGGCAGCACAGGAGGCAGCTGGGCTAGCAGGCAAGGTAGCGAGCAGCCAGGAGGGCAGCGGGCAATACATGCTTCATTTTTTTAATTAATTTTTCTTTAATTTCCGACGGCATTATTCAGCCGGAAATAAACCGCAGGTTCTCATTTCCTATGCAGCTTTTCCCAGCGGAAAAATTTTCGACAGAAAGTCGATGGAAAACGTAATTTTCGCCGGAATTTCACATATATCCGCCGAAAAAATCCGCTGGTAATAGATGATTCTCCTGTAGTGGGAATTAGTACTGGTTAAGCTGAATATAAAAAACTTTTAATTTTAAATCTATCATTTTGTGATTTTATTAATTATTTTAACCATATTATTCTACCAATCAAATGTACCAGACGATTTGATTTCAAAATCCTTACCTATTTACACAACCTATTTAAATTCAAAAGAGTTTAATAAAATCATTTTATTTTGAAAATTTAAGGATTTTTTCAGCAGAAAAAAACTCTTCATTATAAAACTCACCTTTATAAAACCCTAATCTGAGTATAAAGTGACATACATCTCTCAATCTCATAGTTCTTTGTTTGTATTTTCAATGTAGTTGTTTTGGAATCATTTTGTGTTAAAATTACAAAGCTTGTAAAAGTTAGCAATAACCTGAGTCACCACCAAAAGTATTATCAATTTGCTAGAAAGCATTCTATAGAAAGTTTGTTAGATTTAGGCTTAGAGGTTGTGCACTTGCCTATAACTAATGTGAAGGGTATGATTTCCTTTGAAGAAGTGATTTTGAGAGGTTTTTCACCAAAGCGGAGCAAAGGCATTATTACTCAAACAAAGTGGAATCCTGAGTATGAGGAATACTTAGGTGTACATAGATCATCGAGTAGGTTGAAGCACATAAGTATCGATTGTCTCCATCTTGTTCTATAATATGGATTTATATTTATTACATGATTATTTTATCATTATTATACTTGAACTATTATATGTTCATTAAATTAGAAAATATATTTATGCTCTTGGGTTAAGTTAATTATCACTACTATTTTTAATAGTTGTATCATTATACTCTTAGCATAAATTCACATATATCAACATAATATACATTGTTGTGGCATATATACTTGGTATTTAACATGAATCATCCAATAAACTTGGATGGCCTTATCATCTTTATACTTATGTTTAGAGTTAATAACTCCCATTAGCTTAATTATAGACTAAACAACATCACTTGTTTTATTTGTAGAATTACATAAGACTGTGTCTTTTCTAATCATAGTGATTATGATTATGCATATTGTGATTAATCACATGTACACTTGCTTATATTAATATATGCACATTACATATAGATAATTTATTTCACCATTATAATTGTATCTCCTGCATATCATATTATTAATTGCTTTCTTATTATAGATTATGTATTACATTATGTGGGATTTGAATTGGGAAGAATTTCAAAAAATAATAATAAAGTGAAATCACATATACCTATGAACCAACGGAGGATTGCACTCATGATGCAGAAAACAGAGAGCCTCAGCCACCCCGGTGGCTATCTTCAATCTGGTTATCCAATCCAGTGACTGCAGCCCATCTTCTTCCAGCATGGGCTGCCGATGCAATGCCATAGAAAGATCTCCATGAGGCATGAACTTGTAAACCAAGAACTTCTCATTCTCTTTCTCCAAGCAATGCCCAATAAAAGGAACCAATTTCCCATTTAAATCCTTAGCAAACAAATCCAATTCCACAAGGTAAGCCTCTCTCCTCATCGTGAGAACATCAACCCTCTTCACAACCACAGAAACATTCTTTTTTAATATCCCAAGATAGAAATTGCCCGAATGCCCTTGCTTGATAAGATTCATGCGCCTGAAATCTGAGGTTGCCTGGGCGATCTGCTCATAGGTGAAGGACTCTCCAATTATCCCTGGCGAACTCACCAAGTGTTTGGAAGAAGACGGCAGCTCACGATCCTTAGGTGACTCTCCTTGGTTGGTACTTCGATTTTTGGATCTCTTCAAGCAACAAAGAAACAGTATAGATGCAGCAATGAGAACACCACAGCCCCCCAAAACTCCAGCCAGAATGTACCTCCATTTGTGACTACTCTTCGTATCAGATTTTGGAACGCCTTTAGATGGATCAGGAGGCACAGAGCCTTCAAATGGCCTAGCCCTCTCTTTGTAGAAATTTTCACACACAGCTAAGCTTCTCTGGTTCATTGAATCATGGAAGCAATTCGATCCCAAAAGAGCATTCCTCCTCTTGATGTCAAATGGCTCTGAACCCTCCAGGTAGTTGTTTGAGAGATCAACAGCCCTAAACCTATGGAGAAACAACCACATCCCAGATGAAAGTAATCCATAGTAAAGATTGGATGATATATTAAACACTTCTCCAGTCGCAGTCATATTCGCCGGGACCAACTCTGGAAAAACACCAGTGAGATTATTGGATGACACATCGAACAATTCCAGCTCGGAAAGCAACCATGTGGAATTCGGGAGCACCCCAATGAAGTAGTTACGACTAAGATTGACCGAGCGGAGATTAGAAGCTCCCGAGAAAAACGCCTCAGGCAGAACCCCAGCGAGAGTGTTCGAGCTGAGATCAAGCGACTCCAGCTTTGAAAGTTTGCCAAGCTGCGATGGAACGGCGCCTTCTAAGCTGTTTCCTGCGAGAGCCAGAATTTTCAATTCGGAGAGCATTCCGAACGATGGAGGAATGGTGCCGGAGAGGAGGTTGGAGGAGAGGTTAAGAAAGGAGAGATTCCGCAGAGCTGCAAGCTCCGGAGGGATCGAGCTAGAGAGCAAGTTGCCGGAGAGATCGAGGGAGGAAAGCTTGGCGATGTCTCCAAGAGTTGGTGGGATGTTACCAGTAATGGAGTTAGCAGAAAGAGAGATCACGCGGAGGCCAGTAGCGCCGCCTAGGGAGTAGGGAATGTAGCCGGAGACGGCGGCAGAGTTGAGGACGAGAACAGAGAACGAGGGCGAGAAGCCGGAGCCAAGCCAATCCGGGATCGGCCCTGGAAGTTGGAAGCCAGCCCCTACGAACCGCTCAAGGGCGGTGAGGTTGCGAACGCCATCGATGGCGAAGCGAGGGTTGAGCCGACCGAGCCGGGTGCGATGGAGACCGGTCAGGTTGAGCTCGACGACGCGCCCAGACCGGCACGCCACCCCGGTCCAGTTTGAGCACGGGTCGGTCTTCCGCGGCCAGGCTCTGGACCGGATGCCGAGCGAGGCGCGGAGGCTGTAAAGGCCGGTGAGGTCTTCCTCGGAGAGGAGGCGGTCCACCGCAACTGCCGCCGCCTGCACTACTAAAAGGAAGATTAATGAGCAAAGGAGTGACGGAGAGATCATGGCCGTTGATTAAGAAAGAGTGGACGGTGATATGGGAGGGTGGACGACCAGAACTGGGGTGATTGGTCATTTATGAGGCATGGCTGCATTAATGATAGGAGAGTTTACGTGAACTGTCAGCTGTTATTGCTTTAACGTCGGCGCTTGAGGATTTGTCCGGTGATCTTCACCACCGCCATCGCCGGCGACGGCCGGCCGAGCCATGGAGGCGGACGTTCCTTTGCAGACTAATAAAACTAATAGCCAGAAGAAGAAGTAGAAATTTATCAAGCCTCTTCATTTATCAATAGTATTTTATTTATTTATTTGCACGCCTAACCTTACGGTGATCCATGCAAAACTTTCGAGTCGTCTCATCTTAAACTGTAAAGTGTGTTTTCGCATATGTGCACTGTTGCGGGTGTAAAGTGTAAATACAAAATTTTATATATTATTTTGGTCGACACGAATGATTTGGTTCTGATTAATCATAATTTGAATCTAAATTCATGTGGTTCAAATTGATCCAAAACATAAATAAAATTCAATATCATAAAAAGTGAAATCACACGGAATATTTTTAGTTAAAAATATAATGGCAATGATTTTGACAACTTTGATTTTATTTAAATTGATTATTTGAATTCCATTTATTTTTTTCATTGATTGATTTAGTGGTTGTTTGACTGTCCAAAAAAAATATTGTGTAAATTGAATGCAATATAAAATATAAAAAGGCAACCTTTTGTGCCTTCCCTCAAACGTGTAAAAAGGCAACCTTATGCATTTTAGATAGTGGGGGCAATGTTTATATTGCTGAGGATGTTATGTGCCTTCCCTCCAATGTTAGTGTTGGTGAGAATGTTGTTGTCTTTTCTAATTTGGTTTTGCCTGTGTCTGTGCCTGTTAATTCGTTGGATGATTTGGCCTTGGTGAATGCTGATGTTCCCACGACTTCCAATCTGTTTTGTCTTGTTGCCCCTGATGTGGTGGGGTAGGGGATCCTCTGTTACTGCAGAATGACTGTGTGAATTTTAATGGTGATTTTGGCGGTGTGAATTTAGTTGCTTCTCCTTTATCTAATGTTGTTGTGGAGTCTTCTGAGGCTATTGTTGGAGGTGGTGTTAATTCTGGTGAATGTATGGTGGCTATTTCTAATTCTTTTGTTGATGTGACAGTGGACTTGATCGAGCCCCAAACGTTGGTGTATCATGTGGGAGATAATTTTGTGGTGGATGTGAGGGTTCATCTTGATTCGTTGGTGTATCATGTGGGAGGGGGGGGGTGTGGGGCTAAATTAAAATAATTTTGTTTGATGTCTCATTACGGGGGGTCTCCTTTTGGAGCCAAGAGAGGATCGAAAGATATTTAAATGAGTTTTACTCAACATTCTTTAAAATATTTTTATTTCAGCTAATTTAAGTGAATTTCAATTTCAGCTAAAATTTATCTGAGAGTTTTTAAAATAAAGTTTCAAATAAAAGTCGAAGATTTTTACTAAAACTTTTATATATATATAATAAAATATAGAAAAAAAGGAAATGTATTGATTGCATAGCATAAATCTGAATAAAAATAGAGCTTAATGATATCAGAAATCAACGATCTTTAGCTCGTTGGATTCGTCTCGTCGAGCCGCTCAGTTCGACTATAAACAAAATAAATGAACTGGATGCACCCAATTATGTTTTTGACCTCCATAGATGTTTTCGGTCTGATTTTGGACTCATTGTGATGAGAGTTCAAATTGTGTTGTTGGGTTCGTATTTTTGAGACGTTCAGTTCGACTATAAGTTTGCTGAAATCGAGTTCAAATGGTCTCGATTAATTTTTGAAGCGTGACTGATTTTTTTCTCGAGAAATACAGTGCCTCGGTCGGATCTGAATGATAATTATATCAATATTCTTAGTCTGATCAAGAGAAAAATGAGAGTATTAATTCAATTTTTCTATTCTCTTAATCGAGTATTGCATATAAGAGAAAATAATCAATCTCACTTAAAAATGTACAAGCTTTTTTTTTTTGGGGGGGGGGAATAAAATTTACAAAGGCTTTGCTCTTCTTGTCTGCTAGGTGGTATTGCTGAAGACACCAATTGAATTTTTTTTTTTATGGGGGGCACGTGCCCCCCTTGGACCCCCCTTCCCTCCGCCACTGCCAATTACTAAGCCCTCATATTGATTTCACATTGTATTTTCTATTGCTTTATTGACATTTGCTACATTAATTGCCTCTTGTACTTCTTTTTTGGTTTAATATATATTTGAATTTTGTTAAAAAAAAAAGTGGAGAGCCATTCTTTTATGATAAATTATCTACACACAGTATACTTTGATAAATTCAATGTTTTGAATTTTAATATTTAAGTCAAATAAAATTAAATAATTTATTAAAATATAATAACTAATTTGTGCCAAAATATTTGTGACAGTAGAGAAATTGATAGTTTAATGCCTTTCTTAACATTACATAAAAATTCAACACACACAGATAAGAGAAGAGTGCAATAATTGTAAGAGACGCTAGAGTTTTATGTGAAAGTGAAATATCATAGGTTCTAACCTTGCTTAAATGATTCAGCTAGTATTTGTTATCGATTACAAATAATATTATTTCTCGTAATTAGGTAACGTGCTTTCAAATATGTTTCAATTGATTGATTTGGGCTCTTTCAGATTCAAATTGTACCACTTTTAGTATCGTTTGATTTGTCTTGTCGGTACATTTAGTTCAATCACAAGTTTGTTAAAATATTGTCTTGTCGGTACATTCTTTTCTTTGGAGATCTTGATGTTGGGAAGAAATTACACATGTTGTCTTGGGAAGAGGTTTGCAAGCCTAAAACTTATGGGGGTCTGGGTTTGCCTTCTATGCAAGCTTTGCAATTTGCTTACAACTGTTCGGTTATTCTCAGAATGTATAATTCGGACTCTGCTCTTTCTAAATGGCTAGTATATAGATACAACTCACCTTGGAAGCCGCCCCTTAGCTTGGCTTCTACTTTCTGGAAATCTGTATGTGCTACTGCTGTTGCTTCTAGACAAAAATTCAAATTCAAAATTCATAATAAAAGCCCCATCTCCTTTTTTTGGGATCACTGGCTTAATAATGATTCTATCCTTGATAGACCTCAAGGTAATGCTTGGTATCAAACCTCTAATTTAAACACGTTGGTATCCTCTTTCATTACTAATGGTGCCTGGACTCTTCCTGTATGCTTGCCTGCATGGCTATTAAATGAGATTTCTGCTATTCCTATAGTAGATTGCAACACTGACTGTTTAATCTATGATGGAAAAGCTTCTTCTAAATCTGGTAGATTTGGAAGCTTTGTGTTTGAATATTATTGTTCCTTGTCCCCCTGTAATTGGGACAAATTTATCTGGCATCCTCATCATTCTTTGAGGTTTTCCTGTTTCTCATGGCTTGCTCTTAAAGGTGGTTTGAAATCTGCTGATGCTCTGAAAAAAAGATAGATCTTGGTTCCTGAAATCTGTAGTCTTTGCAATGTTAACATGGAAAGTATTAATCACTTATTCTTTGAATGTCAATATTCATTTGATGTGATTAATCACACTATACATGATACCAAAAGACTTCTACTTAGACCTACAATTTTGCATCTTTTTGAATGGATTGAGGAAGTTTATAGTAACAATGGTCTTCTCAAAAATCTTTACCTTCTTTTTGTGAGCTGCTCTCTATATTTTATTTGGAAAGAAAGAAATAGTAGAAGATTTGGTTATGTGTTTAACAGCAGCTCTTCTACCTCGACTCTTATTAAAAGTGCGGTGTTTGACAAAGTGGGGAAATGGAAAGCTGTTTCTTCTTTACTTTGCAGCTTATAAGGGCTGTAGGAGGCTACCTGTCTGTTTCTGTTGCTGTTGTTGTCTGTTTCAGCTGGTTCGGGTCCTGGTAGATTATCCTGGAATTGCTGGATGACTTTTCTGAGAATTTTGTGTTCTCTTTTTTGGCTGTGGCGGCTCTCCTGGGCTGGTTGTGCTGGAAGTGCTCGATTTTCTGGGTTGCAAAATTAAAGCCATAGACCGGACGATGATGACAGTTTTTTGTTATCCCTCGGACGGTCTATATTTTTGGCAACCAGGGATATAAGGATATTGTCGGATTGGTATAGCTTTTGGTTTTTTCTGAGTCCATAGGTTCTATGGTTTTAATTTTCCACTTGTGGACTTTAGGTTTTTTGTTAGTGCTGTTCTACAATGTTTTTATTTGATGTTATGAGAGTTTGCTCCCCTTTGTTTGGAGCATTTTTGTCTCTGCATCTCTCTTTTCTCCCTTGTAATAGTTGTTATTTTTCATGCTTTTAATATACGGGCCAAGCCCAAATTTTCCCCCAAAAAAAAGTTTGTTAAAATTAAAGTTCAGAAAATCTTGAATCTAATTTCAGAATTTTTCAATCTAAATATGTATTGAAATTTGTGTTCAAGCAAAATGATTTCTAATGATTTATTAATAATAAATCAAATAATTTAATAGTTTAATTATATTTGATGAATTACATAATAATTTAATTATATTCATTAATAATATATAATACGTGAAATTAAATATATTTTAAAAATTCAACCTTAAATATTTCAACAATTTTTTTTCATAAAAAATTATATAATGAAAGAAGTCAAATTTCATTCAAATAAAATGATTGAGTATGCACTATGCACATACCACGTGTCCTTCCACAATTTAAAAAATATTTTGTTTATTCAACCTTTTATTCATTAAATTTATATTTTTAATTGAGGAGAAGGAAATAATAAGTACTATCAAAACAATAATGCAACAATTGAAATAATACAGTGATAAGTAATTAATTACAGTCTCAAATTTTTATTTACATCAAATGTTGGGTGGTCTTCTTGATAAATCAACATTCATCATTTATTTTGGACGAAATCTGTTATTTTCTAAAATAATTTTTTTAATGCAAAAACTTTTTTATCTAAAAAAATTTGTATTAAAAAATTATTTTATATTAAGAATATTGTTCCAAACGAAACTTAAATTTGTTGTGCCAAAATAAAACAAGAGTCAAACTATAAGAGTTAAGAGGTTTAAATATTTATTTCAAGCTCTGAATTTCTGGCAATAAATCTTTTGATATATTTTATTAATTATTTTAGTCAAAATAAATAGCATTTTTAATTATTTTTAAAGAAAATTGTAATATAAGCTCATTGGCTATATTAAATATTCATTAACAAACTTAAAAGTGAATCGAAAGAATAGCCAGTAGAGAATGATAAATTATTCTGTGTTGTCACCTGTTGGTGTTCAGAGACGAATTAGGAAGTGTCACGTCATTTTTTTTATGAATAAGTTTAAGAACTTTAGAATTAATTATTCTCTATGAATAATAAAAATAGTATAATCATTATAGTGTTGTCCAAAAGGTTATTTTTAATTCCTTAATTATACGATTGAAGGACTACATGCGGAAAAATAATAATAGCATATGATTAGGTAGTTACAAATTATTAAAAATATTTGGCTCTAATTACTTACGTCAATGATAAGTACTCTTGACAATGTCTCTCATTAGAGTGTCTCAGGGAGTGTCCTGAGTGATTATCTTAGACGAATACTTTATAGGTAGACACCATTGATAAGTTTATTTGAGTTGGAGACTAGCATGACTAATAAAGTTTCGTATAATAAACTTCTAACAAACTGTTTTTAAATCCAGTTAAATGCACATTAAGTGAAATATTTAAAAATTTAGAGCGATGGACGTGACTTACTGAGATATGTTGGCTCACACATATTATGCATTATGTTTGCAAGTTAGAGAATGGGAAAAGAGCCCATTAAGTAATAGAGTATCCGAGATTTGATATGTTTGTGTCTGAAAAGATATTTGTTGATGTTTTTTACAATTATGATTTTATATTTAATTATTTTATTTCAGTTTGTAACTGTGTACTATAGTATATAAATATTTGTATTTAGATGTTATCAAAAAATTATCTTGATCGGGCACGAATCTAGAGGCAAAATCAAGTTGGAAACTTCAAAAATTAAATACGGGATCATCTGAACTCCGATTTCAGCAAACTTACAGTCAAAACTGAGCGTCTCAGAAATACGAACCCAATGACACCAAATTCAACTCAATCCGAGTCCAAATCAAGGACCCGAAGCTTTGTTGGAAGGTTCGAACCTTAATTTGGGTTACCAAACGGTTTTCAAACATGATGTGCTTATAGTCAGATCGAGCGGCTCGACGAGAAAAATCTAACAAACTCAAGATCGTCGAATTCAGACATCATTAAGACATTCGATTGTCTGACAAACGACACATGATCAAGGGATTCAATCATTCAATATCAGTCGTCCATCCAACCACTCCTCATTTACCCCTGATCTCTCATCTATTTACGAGTCTTTCCACTCTCAGAAAACTATTAATAGCCCCTCATTTTCTCTTAAGAGGGGACCCAAGCAAGAAGAAGAAGATGAGAAGGATATGAGGGAAAAAACTCCTCCTCAACCACCGCCAGAATTCTTCCCGACGCCCGAGTGATGCCAGAATTTCGCCCGATGCCCAAGTGACGTCGGTATTCTGCCCAAGTGACGCCAGAATTCTGCCCGACGCCCAAGTGACGCCTGAACTCTGCCCGATCTCCAATAACTCTGGAGTTTTGCCCGAATACCATCTAACGCCGGAGTTCTCCCCGTCCGCCGATTGAATTCAGACTTCTATCCAACGACGGACCTCCGCTCGTCCCCAGATTTCTACCTGACATCGGACTTCTGCCTGGTGTTGGATTTTTGTAGAACGTCTATATGTTGCTGAATTTTCAGTTCATTGATGGACTTCTACCTAACACGATCTTTCCAACCTCCATCGTCAGTACAGTCCTTTGGACTTACGTCGCCCACCGACTACAGTCCTTCCGACCTCTATCGCCTGCCTACTACAGTCCTTCTGACTTACATCGTCTACTGACTACAGTCCTTCCGACCTTGGTCGCCCGTCCACTACAATCCTTTTGACTTACGTCGCCCACCGACTACTGTCCTTTCGACCTCCGTCGCCCTTCGACTACTGTCATTCTGACTTACGTCGCCCACCGACTATAGTCCTTCTGACCTCTATCGCCCGCCGACTACGATCCTGCCAACTTACGTAGACAATCGACTACGGTCCTTCCGACCGAACAAACACGTCAACAGTGACTCTTTATATTCTTATTATGTACTTCATATAATGTACATCAAGCTAAGGCCTTCCCCCTAAGGAAGGGCCTCAATTGTAATCAACTGCAAATAATAGTGGATTCATTCTAACTGGGCTAGGCCCCGTGGTTTTTCTCCATTTTCAGGGATTTTCCACGTAAAAACCTTGGTGTCTCCTATAAATGCAACACCCTATCTCTTTATTTGATTGTGTGCCAGATTTTCATACAATGCTAAGACGTTAAACTTTATATTTCTCTACCACCGCGAATACTCCTAGACACAACATGTATATACATTTTGATGATGGAAGACGATAAATTTGTGGATGATTTTATTTTTTTTTACTAATTGAAAGTTAATTAGAACTTTTATTGTCTATTTCAAAGTTTAAATTGAAGAAATCAAAAAAGTTTCCCAGAACTTTGATCTTTGGCTACACTATTCCAATTCAGCACAATATAACATATCTATCTGTGGGTTATATCGAATTAGGTTGTGACATTATGTTTCAGAGAAAACAAGTAAAAAATTCGTAAAATCTGATTTATATAAACATCTTGAAGCTGGTTTAGAAAATTGACATGCAGGATATTCCTTTGGTGTTATTGCATGATGGAAAGAGCAATCAAATAAAGTAATGCATTTTATCAATAATTCCTATTGATATTCTAGCAAATTCAATTAGCACAATGCCATCTCAATCAACATTTAGTACAAGGGAAAAAGGTTGTTGCCACCTACCAATTCAAATTGGGTATTAAAACGGTTCAAGCTCTCATATGTAGCTCAAATTGAGTTTGTCCACACTACAACTTAAAATGAAGTACAAATGTAATGATTTGTTATAGTTTTATTTTCAAAGCTTCACATTTTATAATGATAATTGCATCATTTTATGTAAAATACTTGTAGAAAGAGAAGGATAATGAAGAGGTGGGGATAAAACTACCGCTTAGTTAGAAGCATTATGAAAGATAGAAGATCTCTTTACACATTCTCTCTATTAACATTTAATTTAGTTGATGCGACTTTTCATTTTTATCATTTGTAGATTGAAGATGCTTGTGACTAGACAATGTGAAAAAGATTATGGAGATACGAAGAATATGAGATTCCTAATAAGCTATACCATTTCCTATGAAAAAATAATGCTATGTTTTCGTTTAATGATGATCGTTTGTATTATCTATTATTTAAGTGTTAAATGTTAATATTGGTCGTTTGTATTATCTATTATTTAAGTGTTAAATGTTATTACTTATTGAGCTTTCTTAAACTTTTGATTTTAGTTTAATATTGGCACTTTGTATCACTATCGCTTTAATGCTGAAACTATGCTTTCTTAAACTTTTGATTTGTATGAGAAATTCTTTTTATAATTATGTAACATGCTCTCTTTTTATTTTTTTAATTCTACCTACATATATAAAAGCATTTATATACATTTTATGATTCATTTTATTTCGCTAAATGTGATTCTAATTATTTATGGCATATAAATGTCATTTTTCCGACATTTTGATATTTATGATGTTTAGAAACTTTGCCAATGTATTTTTTAAGAAGTTTATTAAATTTTTTTTCAAAAATGCACTTCATTTCGAGCTATTAAGCCTCTAAATAAGCTGAATTGGAGCGCCTATTTCGAGCTCGAGTTTACATCACTTATACATTAGACGAGTTGAGCTGCATCCGATTATGTCTCGAGCTTGACTTTGACTAGACTCATTTAAACATCTAAATAGTAATTAAATAAATTAAATTCATAACATATTAAATTTAATTTTTAAGTAAATGTCTTAAAAATGAGATTATATTTTCAAATAATTTCACAAAATTTAATAAATCCGAATTTAAAGGGTTTATTAAATCTTATTAAAATTAAATCCCACCTGTTGCCCTCATATTTCACCAACAAAATTTCACAAAGCCGCCGGCCCGGGCGAAATCGAGGCGAGGAAGCTGCGACCGGCTGGAAGCTCACTGGGGGAAGGCGTGGAGGAGGTGGCTGATAGTGCAATCAAACAACACCTCCGTAAAATGACGCAGATTCTCAGTGCTCCATTCTTCTCTTCGAATGTACAGCCTTCGCAGTTATTTCTATATTCCCATCGCGTTTCTCTCAGAAGTCATCACACCAAAAGCGTTTCCATCTTCAAAATCGAACGAAAGATTCTCCCTTTTTCATCGCCTGTAGAATACTTTCGAGTTTCAAGCAACGTTCGTCGTCTGGCTAATCCAGTTTGCAAGAAAATGGAAGATGGGTTTTACATGAGGAGGTGCGTGGAGCTTGCCAGGAAAGCGATTGGCTGTACGAGTCCTAATCCGATGGTGGGTTGTGTTATTGTGAAGGACGGTGATATTGTTGGTGAAGGGTTTCATCCAAAGGCCGGGCAGCCTCACGCGGAGGTAATCATTCGAGTACATCTTTTGCCATGCTATATTCCAAATTGTTTGTTTTATTTCTTTTAGAGAAATCTTAGTGAGTCATTTTTTATAGAAAACAGAAATGTTGGTTTGCATTGGAGGAAGCAGCTATTCTTAGTCTTTGCAAGAAAGCCAAATTCAAGTTTTTGGGCCTTTTTTTTGCTGGAATTCTTTTTCTTTTAGGTTTTGTTTGGTTGCGCAGGAGTTATTGTTGATCAAGATTTAGGGCATCTCCAACCGGAAATCCCATTTTTTCACTCCAAACTGAAGTGAAACTTAAAAATGCACCTCCAATCGAACTCCATTTTGCGCACTTTTGAAGGTACCCTTTTCTCCACTTTCGCGCGTTTCTTTTGCAAATCCGGTTGAGACAGAAAATTGCTTAGATGAACAGTGCAATGCCAATATTGGCGTTGCACTGTTCACCCTCCACCCATTAGCGATTTTTTTTGCCGTTTGAATGGAGCAAACCAGCTACGCCTTACGGTCGTTTGGAGTTTTGCTGGAGACGCCCTTAGGTGGTCCGGCTAATCTGCCAATTTTCGAGTTAATCTGCAACTCTGTTTCATTAAGACTTATTTTTGGCAATTAAGAGCCTATGAAACAAAATCTGTTGATTATATTGTGATCAGTTAATTAATGTATACTTATGTTACTAATCATAGATGTAGTTGAAATAACCATGAACTGGTGGGCTTAGGCTGATGTTTTGTGCTTTCACTGGCTTTATTATATTTGTCTTTAATAATAGCTCTCTTTGGCCATGTTGTGAATGCTCTAGGCAATTTATGATGCTCACTATTTTGTTAGGAACATTTTATTAATGGGACATGTAACTGTTAGGATTTCCTCCATAGATACTTCGGAATATTTGTAGAGAATATTAGTGATCTGGCAAGTTCTTAGAAGTATTTATTTTTCATTCTAGCAGCTTCATTTTATTGAGAGGTGTCGACATAATGGTTTTGATTGATATTTCCCTTTATGTTGGAAATCATTTCCTATTTTTGATTTAAAGCATTCTTGGGATTCTTGATTTTAAGACTTGGATTATTGGTTGAAATTGAGTTTAGTTCATTGTGTTGAAATATTTAAAAAATTGTCTCACTTAAATTTTTTCTTTCATTAAGAAAACCCATGTGAGATGATTATGACCGTCGATGAAGGAAATAAACCACCTAGTTTCAAGGAAAATTTTGAATCTCGATGGTCCTCTCAAGTCTCACATCACTGTGGACTAAAGCTAATGGTTGAGAATGTTTGTAAGATTGATTGGGATAAGAATTACAATTGTGTTTAGCCATATTGCGAATTTCACAATGGAATTCTTTTGAAAATTTCACGGTGAATAGAGAAGAAACTAGTTTCTTAAGGTAGGTATGATTTGGGAGTTCTAGGCAATAGTACCAAAACTTGATGTTACTATCATTATTTGAAGTGTTTGAAATTTGAAGTGGTGGTTTTTGTCAATGCACAACCAATTGTTTGAGCCTATTTCTTACTTAAGTGATTATTATTTAGAAGGTACAATTCTGAATACATCTTTGCATTACAAATAGTTTTCCTTGAATTCAAGATCTAAAAGTGATAAATATTGGATACGAAATTAGCAAATTTTTTTTTTCTTGAATGACTTAGTTAATTGATAATAAGCTGCAAAATTGGTTTGGTAATAGAAACATAAAGTCACGTGTCAAATTCTTTCATAGAAAGTTGAAACCTATTTTTTCCATTTTTGATACCGTCCCATCTACAATTTAGGCATTAAAATTGATGTAGGACTAAATGCGTAGGTAATTATGTAATGCTGAAAATACACGTCTTTTAATTAGAACAACAATAATTATGTTTACTTTTAGCTATTTAAATAAACATTAAAACAATAAAGAGGTGATTGAAGCTTAGGTCAAACTACATGTAAGATTTAGAATCATGTATAATCAATTCCGATCAAATTTAGTATAGCATGTGGGATTTTCAAAGGAAACCACTATGTTAAGGTATATATTTGGCACTAATTGGATCCACTCTCTCACATTCTTGAGGTAGGCTAAATGGAGGTAGGTTGCACAACCTTTATGATGCCACAAATTAAAGGGACGACTTAGAAAAACAAAGATTTAGAGAAGAAATCTACAATTATCAGGATTTGGAAATGATGTGCCACTGAGCGGGAGAGAGTTTTTTGTCGATAGCGACGGCGATGGAGAAGATAATCCTTTCGACATTGTCTTTAATGGTACGGTCGACCTCCAAGTTGATGTCGAAGAACGGAGATTTGAGGATGTCCACTTGTCCTTGATCGTTATAAACAAACCCGTGGTCACGTTCTAGATCAGCCATACACGAAGGAGCCACAAATTACAAGGTTCTGGAACTCCTGGGCAACAATCGATGAACTTCCGGATGGTAGGACAACAAGGAGAAGATGCAGAAATTTCGGGACAACACTTGATCTGCTACTGGACAACAAGCTTGGACAACAATCTTGTTGGTCTTGGAAGTTCTGGACAACAAATACTATCCGGGAAAATTCTAAACATCAACTCTCTAGTCCAAAAATCTGGACAGTAGTTGTGAGTGGATCTAGACGGCAAGGGCTTAATGTGGTCGGCTATGGGAAAGAGAAAATATCTCTTAGTTGGCAAGGGGAATAATTGGAGAGGTAATAAAAGAGATAGAATAAAAAAGGGGAGGAGAGAGGGGGATGGCGGCTTGCATGAGAAGGGGGATTTGATTTGGGGATTTAAGTTTGTTCTCAAACATCGAATTTTAATAAGGGAAAGTGAAATTAGAGCAAAACTTTAATTAAATTCAGATTTGGGATAATTGGGGAAAGCTTCTTAATAAAAGTTTTCTTATCTTAGGAAAGAATTTCAAAATTCAAATAATATTTTAGTTTGAATTGAAAACTTTCCTAAATTAAGATATTTCAAATAAAGAAAGTATTGAATATTCAGTTTGAAATTTTGGAAGCAACATGAAGGGAGGTGGCCGGCAGCTAGGGAAGAGATTGTGGGGTTTGGACGGCGGCTAGGGAGGGGATGGAGGCCTTAGAGCCAGCAACTATGGTGGGGCAGGGGGAGGGGTTAGAACCGACAGTTAGGGGAGGGGGTTTGGGGTTCTTGGCTGGCGGCTATGGAAGAGGATGGGTAGGGTTTTGGAAGGGGAGAGGAACCACGAACCCGGACGTTTCCTGCGGTTGGTGGGTGGTAAGTCGCCCTCACCTAGGGACTTCAAACAAGCTCTCTTAAAAACTCTCACAATTCACAAACAAAGTGCAAGAAAATTTTCTTCAATCTCATCATTAACCATCACAAGAATAGGAGGCTATAAATAGCCCAAAGTACAATAATAAAACAAAAAACAAAAGTGCCCCCTTGGGTCACAAGCACCTACTCCCTCAAGTGAGGGTAAAATCGGAAAATAAACAACAATAAATCAAATACAACTAATAACTAAAAAATAAAGTGGTGTGATTGTGGCTGTAGATCGACGACCCCATCTCTAGTAAACTCTCCATGGTCAGATGTCCTCATCAAAAAATTTTATGGCATGGGTTGATATTGTGGAAGAAAATTTTCTCCTATTAAATGATTTGTGTTGGGGAAGTGAAACACGCAACAAAACAAACAAAAAATAGAAAATGCTGTGGAAAAGAAATAATACCAGGATTTAACGTGGGAACAACTAAAATCAGGGAAAAATCACGGAGCCACGCCACACCAAGAAATTCACCATGAAAAGATGGGAGAAATAGTACAAATTTCTCTTCTCTCGCTCCTCTCTCTCCTCTCTTCTCTTCACTCTTGCACTATTTTCACACTAGAACATACAAGAGAAATTTAGCACAAATTGCCAAGGGACACAATCATCATGAAAAACAAGAAAGAAAACTACCAGCTCATTTCACAGTGTCATGGCGCCAGTTTGGAGAGCCGCGACGCTCAACTCTCTATCTCTAGCCTACCTGACAACCCTGCAACATTGGGGTCTGGAGCGCCACAAAGCCTGGATCTGGAGCACTGCAGTGCCACAACTTTGAAGTTTGGAGCTCTACAATCTTTGTCTTTCTTCAAGCAAACTATACAGTGTTGGGGCGCTCGGGTACATAGCACCGTAGTGCTGTAGAGTTGTAAGGAAAAAAATTGATGTAAGGCTTGAATTTCAAATTTTTATGAATTCTTTCATTGTTCTATTTCATCTATAAATTTAGCAATTTGTTTGCTTGTGTGATTGAATCTGATCAAAGTTCATAAATTTTGAAATTCTAATTGCTATTACATTTTTGTTTGTCATGTGGAGGGGGACGGAGGATGTAGGGCTATCAAGTTTCCTATTGGTGTACTAAAAGATCGAATTCTCTAGGTCACATAAAAGGGCTTATTGTTTTCTCAAAAAAAAATTAAAAAATTATGACTCATTTCTCTAGAGTATATCAAAGCATAGAAACGTGCAAAACTGCATAAAAGTTAATTTTGGTGTTTCGATGGGTTTGTCATTAAAATAAAAAGATAGTTTAAGGGACGCACTCAGCTTCTATTTTCTCATTTGTTTTACTTTAGTTTTCAAAGGATTTAGTGTAGAAAGAAGCCTTTTTTTTGCACCTTTGATCTCAAGGTAACAATGGAGGCAATCTAACCATTATTTCAGGCTTAACCTTTACTTCGTAATCATCAAATGAAGAAGCCGAAAGGATGTTTTTGGACTTTAGGAAGCCATTTTATTAAGGTTTGATGCTTGCATTACTTCTAAACCACTATTGATTGGGGATTTTTTTATTATGGCTAATTTAGGTTGGGGTTTACTAAAGTTCTAGTGTTAGTATTCAGTTTCTGTTATATTCCTCTTTTTGCTGTTATCTTATTCCCTCCCTTTCCTTCCCTTCTCTGTTTTTACAACCCTACATACTCTATAAATTGCCACGTCACATCTTTGTGTGGCACTTTTTTCCATAACCTAACTACTTCTTATTCTCTTCTTTTCATCACATTTCCTCTATATCATTTACTTCTAACGTACCATGCAAGGCTTATGTGAAGATTCTATGATAATATTGTTTCATTGGTTCTGTGACAAAGTATGTATAACTATTATTCATTCAATTCTCATAAAATATATTCTATATTTATTAAAAGTGGCCTTCTTTCAATGCTGGCTCAAGGGTTTAAGCTGTTGGAGGTATTCTCGGTTTAATGAATAGGATTGACCGGTCTATTTGATCAATCTAAATTTAAACATAAATAAATGCGTGAAATTCAGATAAATTTGTCCTTTCTTCTTTGCTTAGTTTTAACTGGTCTCATTTGTCTATAAAATTAGTTCGAAGTGATATCTTTTGAAATGCCATTTTACTGTTAATCCTGATGCAATTGGCGTGTTTAGGTATTTGCTCTAAGAGATGCTGGGAATTTGGCTGAGAATGCAACAGCTTATGTAAGCCTTGAACCATGCAACCATTATGGGAGGACTCCTCCCTGCACAGAAGCATTAATTAATGCAAAAGTGAAGCAGGTGATTGTTGGTATGGTGGATCCTAACCCAATTGTTGCTTCAAAAGGAATGGAAAGGTTGAAAGCTTCAGGAATTGATGTTGTAGTTGGTGTGGAAGAGAAGCTGTGCCAGAAACTAAATGAAGCATATATACATCGAATGCATACAGGAAAGCCATTTGTCACTTTAAGGTAAAGTATCAACTGCTTAGTTTTATGGATGATAGAGAGTTATAAATGGATTTTGTTACTTTTTTTAGGTGATGTGTGAATTTTGATCACAATCATTACAAGGAAGCTTACTCAACTCTTAGTTTTGAAATTATTAAAAGACAAGTTGAGAAATTATTATAAAATGGCTTTCTCCAAGAGCCACTTAGTCCATGTGCAATACTAGTTTGTAAGCTATTAAGAAAGATTAAACATGGAGAAATTTTGCTGATGGTTGGGTTATAATGAACTTATTATCAAATATAGATTTTTCGTTTCCTGATTCGATATGTGGGATTTAATTTTAGGAGCAAATTGTTTTTCTTAAATTGATATGAAGATTAGTTATCATTAGACTAGGATTAGAGTTGGGTATGAATGAAAATTTGTTTTTAAAACCCCAAATAGACTTTATAAATACCTAGTCATACAATGTGGTCTTTTTAATGCTCCTAGTATATTTATAACATTAATAAATAATTGTGTTGCCGAGTCTTGTCCTAGATGAAAAAAGTGATGAGTTACGTTAGGTAGTGGACAACTAGCATAAAATTTATTGAATAATCATGGCATAAATTTTTTAATATATTGTGTTAATGCTAGGGTGCTTTCTAAAAGTGATATTTTGTATGACCTAAATACAATAAAAAGTGTGCAAGGATTGCTGCACCAGCGCCCGGGTGCAGTGTTAAATAAGTAAGATTTTCACATTACAAACAAATGTGGCTAAATAAGCTAGTCTATGCAACTATAAGTAGGATAGAAACTTGAAATATGTGTTCTCTTATAGACAAATTATTGGAATAATAAATATTATGATTCATAGAAAGATAAATATTTTATGTATTAAAAAAAACTAAATAGGTTGGAGACAAGACTAAGGGGATTGATAGTGTAGAATTTAAACTATGATATTCAAGTATGAGTCGTACTAAAAATGATATAGGTCGGATTATAGATAAGAGTTTGAAAGATAATCTTACATAAATTAGTAGAATTGAAGATAGAATTATTGATCTAAAGATTGCTATTATTGTTAAGATTATTAATATTATAAGTGCTTATGCTCCTTAAGAAAGTTTGGATATATGTTCAAAATTTAAATTTTTGGAATGACGTAGAAAATTAATGCAAATGACATTTTTGAAGAAAGAGTTATTATTAGAAGAGATTTAAATAGACACATTAGTAGAGTGGTAGAGGATTTTAAAAGCATTCACGATTGCTATGAGTTTAGAGCGATTAATGAAGAAAGTATGACCATATTAAATTTTACTTTAGCTTATGATTTTGTAATTACTAATATTTATTTTAGAGAAGAGAGGAGTATTTCATTACTTATAAGAAAATTGATATAGTAAAACTCAGATTGATTACTTTCTTATAAGAAAAAATAAATCATTTAGTTTGCAAAGATTGTAAAGTTATTTCGAGTGAAAGTTTATATACCCAACATCGCTTGTTAGCTTTGGACTTTAAGATGAAGGATGAAATAAACTAAAATATTATATTAGAAATAGATAGAAACATTTAATGAATGCTAATAAAAAATATTTTTGAGAGTAAGTGATGTGAATCAATGTAGGAATTGCGTTCGGAAATTAAAATAAAGATTATTCAAAGCTTGTCATAACAAATTTTAATTTCCAACAAAAGTAAAGGGTTAAATCGTTCAAAGTAGTTAACTTGCTTAGGTGAAGATGTGCTTTGAGTTAACCAAACCAATTATATCATTCAAAGATAAAGGAAATACTTAAATGCTCATAACAAAAATCCCATAATTAATAATAAAGAAATTCACCTTGAGTACCCTTTCTCTCTCTCTCGTTCACTCTTGGGTTTTAGTGGAGAAGGAAGAACCATACGAGGATGAAGAGCACCACTACGATGAAGGCGACGAAAGACTTTGTTGCCGGAAAGGTATTCACCGGAGAAGGTGGTGGCGGATGGCGTCCAATGATAGTCCAAGTATAACCACGAAATTGTCGGTCGAAAATACTTGCGAGGATCGGGACGACTCGCTCCAAGTACTCTTCGATTGTAGTTTCGTCTTCAAATCCTACGTCGAAGCAAGGAGAGCGTAGGATATCGATGCTCCCGTCGGCGTGGAAAACTAACCCCCACTCAAGCTCCGGATCCGCCATTCAACATTGAGGCAAGGCGGGAAGAAAAACAAGGGAAGGGGTTCGGCCAAGAGGTAGGGAGGAGTAGGGAGAAAATCTGAAATTTAAATTTCAGATTTTTCTAGGCTTGAAAGGAGAAGTTATTTCATCATTAAATCCTCCTTTAATCAAATTAGAAAGGTGCAGCCATTAGTGGGAGAAATTAAGGGTTTAATTAGATTAGAAAGTTATAGAGGGGAACCATAAGGAGTCTAAGAAAATAATATGCTATGCAAAAATTTAACTTTTAGTGATTTATATTATAGATTACATACAAAGGAGGACGCAAAATGTATGTATATTGTATAAGTTAGCCAATCAAAGTTATAGGAACTGTAAGGATCTCAATTGAAGTGTATTAGGGTTGAAGTCTAAATTTTTTTCTTAGAAGAGGATATTTAGCATAGGTGGATGAGATATTTTGATAAATTTTTGAATGAAGATTATGAGAATATGATCTACTTTGGTGACTTGAGCATCTTATATGAAAATAGAGATTTTTGTTTTTATCATCGTATTAATAAAATCGAAGTTAGATAGACTTTAAAGAAAACGAAGTGTGGAAAAATAGTTGGGCCTGATGTTAATCCAATAGAAGTGTGAAAAGCTAAGGAGATGAATGAATTTTTTGGCTTATTAAACTTTTTAATATTATTTTGAAGACTAAGATTCAATATATGTGGAGGAGTGTGTTGGTTCCTATTTTTTAAAATAAAGGTGATACACAAGTGTGTGCGAATTATAGAAGAATTAATTAATCTGTCAAACATTAAAACTATGGGAGAGAGTAATTGAACATAGGTTACAAAGCGATTAATGTTTCTTAAAATTAGTTTGGATTCGTACTGGGCAGGTTTATTATGGAAGCTATATATTTATTGAGAGGTTTGATGGAGAGACCAAGGAGGATCTGCACATGATATTTATTGATTTCAAAAAAGCATATGATGAAGTTTCGAAACAAGTGGTCTAGAGAGTTCTAAAAAAGAAATAAGTTATATATAATGCTTAGATTCAAGTCATTAAGGATATGCATATATGAGCTATTATTTGTGTTCAAACGCAAGGTGATTTTACCAAGTATATTCCTATTTTAGTTGGATTACATCAATGATCAGCTTTAAGCCCATATCTTTTTGCTTTAGTCATAAGTGTTTGTACAGACATTTGCAGGATGATGTACCTTTTATGCTTTTTTGTTAATGAAATTCTTCTTGTTGATAAGACTATAGAAGGAGTTGAAGGTAAACTTGAATTATGGAGGTCCTTAGAGTCTAAAGATTTTTGTTTGATTAGATTTAAAATCGAAGATATAGAGTGTAATTTTGGTAGTAATAGATCTAATGGGGGGATTGTGACTTTGGGCAATCAAGCTATTAATAAGAGTACACATTTTAGATATCTCGGGGCTATTGTCTAGAGTGATGGTGAAATAGATATGGATATTATTTGTATGATTCAAGTTGGATGGTTGAAGTGGAGAAATGCATTGGGCTTGTAGTGTGATAGAAAAGTATGTCTCAAACGTAAGGGAAAATTCTATAAGATAGTGGTGATACCTGCTATGCTTTATGGTGCAAAATATTGGCCATTAAAAGAGAAGCATACAATTAAGTTAAGTGTTGCAGAGATGAGGATGCTCAGGTTGATGAGTGGATTTACTCTTAGAGATTGAATGTGAAACGAGTATATATGTAAAAATGTTAGAGTAGCTCTAATGGCAGATATGATTAGAGTCACCTTAGATGGTTTGGTCACATAATATATTGGCCTTCTGATGACCCGATTAGGAGAGTTAAGTTATTAGATTTGACCTATGTCAAGAGAGGTAGATGTAGACTTAAAAATGTTTGGTTAGAAAATATTAGAAATGACATTTTTTTTAGATTTAAATGAGAATTTGACTTTTAACAGGACACAATGTAGAAAAAGGATTCATGTAGTCGACCCCACATAGTGGGATAAAAGCTTGATGATGATGTTGTTGTTATATCTCTAATGAATCCAAATTAGTTATGATGTTCATAAGTGGAAAGATGACAACTGACTATCTCACGGGTGTTAATTTTCCTCCACAAAAGATCCAAGATTTAGAACATGACGATATGAAAATAACATTACGGTGTATGGGCTCATCAACACCATTAAAAATGAGATTGACCAAAATTTCATGTTCTATCTACAATAATAGAAAACTAGGATGCTGCGTACTTGGATAATGAGAATAGCGATGAGTTGAAATCAAAGATACACTCCACAATCTTCGGCAAGGTGACCTATTTGTTACCAACTCTCAGTAGATGCAGACAATAATTGGATATATTTGAAGAACTTGATTAGGAGTGTCTAGTAGACGCAAACAAGTATCAACAAATTATTGAGAATGAAAGGATAGCCAAATTTCTTCTCAGAATAAAAAAAATCTTGATGATGTTCAAGGAAGGATATTTAGAAGAAAAACCCTTTCATCTTTCCCTGACCTCCTATATGTTCAAAATCCTGATATGACTGAAAATTTTCAACAATCAATTTTGCAGATGCATGATTTATACTAGATGCTAGGAACATCCAACAAGCATTAGCAAATCAAGCATTCCTCCAAAGCAAAACCACTTATTTCAACCAAGCTTCGTTCATCATTCAAAAGGTAACACTAATTCTAACTAGATGCTAGGAGCATCCAACAAGCTTCAGTAAATCACGCATTTCTCCAAAGCAAAGTCATTCATTTGAACCTATCTTCTCAGTTTTAAGGGGTTTTACTATCAGTCTTTCTAGTGTGAAAATTCCTAATAACATTTTGGAAGTATTAAAAATACTTGAATGGAGAGATGCTGCTTATGAAGATATGAAAATGCTTGAAAAGAATAACACATGACAACTCATGGATGAACATGTTAAGCAAGAATGGTTGCAAAATGATTTACTCAAACTTATGGCATAGATTATAAAGAAACCTATTCACCATTTGATAATTTTAACTATGTATGGGTTATTCTCTCTAGCCATAGATTTTGCTTGGCTTTTTCACCAACTTGATGTTAAAAATACATTTTTAAATAGAGATCTTAAAGAAGAGGTGCATATGAATATTCCTCATAAATTTGAGTCCACTGACAATAAAGGTATAGTCTGCAAGTTTAAGAAATTTTTACATGGCCTAAATCAATCTCCAAAAGCCTTGTTTAGTAGATTTGCCACTACAATTTAAAAATATGGATACTCTCATAGGCAATCTAATCATACCTGTTGTTTAAATCACCATCTTCATAGTCTAGGTGGATGATATTATCTTAATTAATAACGATGAGCTAGAAATCAAGAGACTAAAAGAGTGTTTGGAAAATGAATTTGAAATTAAAATTCTAGGAGCCCTAAAATAATTTTTAGGTATGAAAATTGCAAGATCAAAGAAAAGCATATCAAATTTTCAATTAAAAATATACATTTGATCTTTTAAAAGGGACTAGAACGATGGGATGCAATTCCACAATTACTCCTATGATTCTTATCAATAAAGTATGATCAAATGGTGACACCATGAGATAGTAAAGAAAGTTACCAACTTGACATATATAGCCTTGTTAGTATGGTTAGTCAATTTATGAAATACTCCAACTACAAAACACTTTGATGCGATATACAAGGGGAGCCCCCACGCCCATAATTACAATTTCTATTTTAGGGGCTTTTTGGATACAGGATTTGAGCAAGATTTATGGGATTTGGCCGAAGAAGCGCGTGAACGAAAGAAAGATGGATACCTTCGCAACGAGCAAGCTCTCATCGTCATATTTAATTCCGATAGAACAAACGAAGGGCGAGGAGATGTGATTTCGAATCTGACAGGAAGGAATGTTGTGGAAGGAGGTGAATAAGTTAGTTATTTAGCGACTCGTTCCAAACTCCACCTGTCACACGAAGGAGGCCAAGTCGAAGAGCGATGAACAGTGGCAAAGAGGAAAATCAAACCTATCAATTATTTATATAATTTGTGATTTTTTTAAATTTTAAAATTAAATTTCTTTTGATAGGAATTTTAATTAAGCGAATACAATAAATTATAATAGTTCAAGCTATAGATACAAGGATCTTAATTTTTTGTTCAAGTTAAAAATTTCATATTTGAATTGCTATTTATTTTTTTAATATATTACTGCATCATTAAACTGTATTTATTGTTATTGAATTATACCAGATGCTTGATTAAAAGTTTTTTTTTTTGTTATGTAATTTATATTTTAATGTTAACAACTCTTTTTTTTTAAACCATTGATGTCAATCCGAATTCCTAATGAAAAATGTGGAAGTTATTTTTAAAATCATTAATTCATGCCTAAACAAAAAAAATTTTCTTGCTCTGCTACTGACAGTATATATGATACTAAGGTATAAAAAAGGATTACCAAGAAAGGTTTACTTTTCATAAAGGAAATAGATAGGAGTATAAATTTTTTTATTATGCTGATTCGATTGGGTCTATAACTAATCGAAAATCTACCCATGTCTATTGTTTATTATATGGGAAATTTGGTTATCTAGAAAAGTAAAAAAAATCACAGTGGTTTCTTGAAGTGACATTGTAGCTAATTTCAAGGTCATGACTCATGGAATTTTTGAAGGAATGTGGCTTAAAAGATTATTGAAAGATCTAAACATTCACATTAAAGAATCAATAATGATGATATGTGACAATCTACAATTAGCATTGCCAATGGTCAAATCCACCATAATAGAACTACGCCCTTAATCAATCACAATTTGATAACCTAATTTTCAAGCTAGAAATGATCAACATATATTCCTAGCTTGAGGAAGAGTGGAAATTCTTTAATAAGTGGAACCCACACCAGTCTCTTATCATGCAATTATGCACTCCAAATATTTTGATCGCAGGGCAATTTTCCATATCAGTGATCCATTTGTTTTGATTATTCATATTTTTTTTCTACTTCAATTATTTTCTTGATTTTAAGACTACTAATTGATTTTGTTTTGCTCCTATAAATATGCAATGATTTACCTAGTTTGAAATAAGAAAAGTGTTATCAGAAATGATCTTTCCTTATTAGATTTAAGCGAGAATTTAACTTTCAACAGGACACAATAGAAAAAAATGATTCATGTAGCCGACCCCACATAGTAGGACAAAGGCTTGATGTTGTTGTTGTTGTGAAATAAGAAAAGTGTTATTCTCCTTAAGCTTTATATTTCTCTAATTCTAAAGTCTAAACACATTATAATACTACATAATGATTGCAGATATTCACTTTCACTCAATGGGAGGATGCTAAGTCATCCTGGGAAAGGAGCAGAAGAACCAGGCGGATACTACTCAAAAATGCTTCAAGAATACGACGGCATTGTGGTTTCTGGCGAATTCTTAAGCAGAACCTCCACTCTACCTATATCTCTTGAAGCTGGAGCCAACCAGCCTTTCCACATAATTATAGCTAAGAACAAGTTTTCTCTGGCTCTTCCCAGCACTACCATCAATTCTGCCGCTCCTGTTATAGTCTTTGCAGATAAAAGAATTCGTGTAGAGCCAAAATCTGAGAAAGTTGAAACTGTATTGCTGGAGCAGATCACACTGAATTCGGTCCTGGATTATTGTGGACGTCGTGGGTTGTGCAGCCTCGTGATAGATATCAGAGAAGATAAGGGATCTGTGACAGAGCTCCTTGAAGGTGGTTTTGAGGAAGGATTGGTGCAGAAAGTTATGGTGGAACTCTGCCCTGTTTGGATCGGGAGCAGTGAAGCCTCAGTTCCTTCCTTCGGTCTGGAACTAAGGAAACTGAAGGATCTGCAGTCAAATGTCGCAAATGAGAGTACATTAGTGGAGGGATATCTCTCATAGATATGGTAAAATTAATTTATGTGCTGAAGTTCTTGGAAGACTTCTGCATAGGTCCTTAATTGGAAGGTTGTGAGGCTAATCAAGATCATATTTATGCTTAGCTTGAAATCGAACTATGATTAGACTTGAAATATGAGAGAGAGAGAAAGAGAGAGAGAGAGAGAGAGAGAGAGGGAGAGGACTATTATCTTCTTAGAAAGATAATAACATTTAGGGAAATTTACATACATACCATTTTATTTCATGCTATTTACATATCTAACACTTAAAATTTTAATATTACATTCCTACCACTCATATGAAATTTTAATATTAAATATATCACTACTATGTTTCATTATTACCACCCATATCACCTTATAAACTTTAATATTTCATACCATGCACTGATAATTGTTCTATGGGTGGTAGATATGTAATATTAAAATTTTAGATGTTAATTATGTCAATAGCATGAAATAAAGTGGTATTTATGTAAATACCCCTAACATTTATCCTCAAACATTTTTGTTATATTTTATTTTTAAATGATTGAGATTTAAACTAAATAAAAGTAAAATAATAAGGTTATTCCTGTATAATCAAATAAAATGATTCCTTTTAACTGAAAAAAAAAGCTGTATGCTTTGAATTTAATGAATAAAGGAAAAAAATGTGGCGAGAATTTGGGACTTCTGAACTGATAATAATTTTGTTTTATTAATTTGATGGGATGTTATTAAGAAGCAAAATTCAATAATATAAATATTATTTTTATAATATATCATTAAATTTTCAGAATATACAGATTTATTTATTTTTTATTTTAAATATATTGTCAAATGAATTTTGGACCTCTTTCCGCAGTCGCTGTTTCGAAATTGAATGGAGGGCTGACATTTGACTGAATACCAACGGTCATTTTTTCAAAAAAAAAAAAAAAAAAAAAAAAAAAAAAAAAAAAAAAACAGAGGAAAAGAAGTAGAAGGTATAGTAAAAGGAAGGAGCTAGCCGTTACACGAAAAGTACGGCGAGATATCTTCTTCTATCTTCTTATAGCGAATTGTTTACGTCACTGTTCAAACTCTCTGGTATTCATTCAAGCATGGCATACACAAGATCTCCTTCTCCTAATCCTTCTATGCCCTCAAACCCTAGCCCTAAATCCCAAGAAAAAAGCAGCGTTCTCCGCAAAAGTGGCACCTTTCCTTCTAAGCACTGCATCGCCTCGGGTAATCGGATTTATTTCCTTCACCGGTTGTTCTTTTCTCTGTTTTTTTTTCCTGAAATTTTGAGGTTTTGGTGCTTTTAGCAATTCCTCAAAAGAACTCGAGTTCCAAATCTGCAAGTGCCCTTCCATCTCCACGAGCTTTTTTTGAGCATAAGGAGAACGAAAGGGACCTCAATGACTCCAAGCCGGCAAGGACGAGGTCCCCTGCCGAGAATCCTTACAAGGGCATTAAGGGTTTTATGGCTCCAACGATCTCAGCATCTTCTAAGATAGCTGCTGCAGCGCCGCGTAAGAAGATTCTTTCAGAAAAAAACGACGTAAGGCATTCTTAATTCTTGACTTTATTTTTTTTTAATTTTTTGAAGGATGGAGGGCATTCTTACGGAAATATAAATTGCATCCCTTTGTATAGGTGCTTCAGGATTCTGTGAAAATCCCTAGTGTCTTAGTTGAAGGAGTTAAGGTGGAGGAGATCCTGCCAAAATCCGGAATGGGTTTTGAATCTGAGGATATATCAGTTCGAAATGGATCAAGGATGATGGATTTTAGTGGTTCAAGGGGCCATAACCAATCGACAGGCAGTCATCATCCTTCTAGTGTCTTAGTTGAAGAACTGAAGGTAGAGGAGATCCTGCCAAAATCCGAAATGGATTTTGAATCTGAGGATATATCAGATCAAAATCGATCAAAAATGATTGATTTTAGTGGTTCAACGGGCCATAACCAATCAACAGGAAATCATCATCCTTCTTGTTGTCCTTCAGATGCTGATCCATCACTTCCTCCTTATGATCCAATGACTAACTACCTTTCACCTAGGCCCCAATTCCTTCACTACAAGCCCAAGCCAATGATTGAACAAAATCATGGCTTTACGGAGGATTTGTTTTATGTGGGGGATGGTAGACGATTGGAAGATAGCTTCTCTGATACCGAAGGCTCCGACGTTTGCAGTGAGTACACAGAGGAGACAAAAGCTTCACCTGTGAATATGGGACCAGAGGATGAGGATGTTTCCACTAAGTTGAACACACAAGAAGCTCTGGTTCCTTATGAAACTTACGCTTCTGAACCCAAAACAAGAGCTGAAACCTACAAACCTAGAATTTACAATAGGTCTTTTAGGAAGTCAAAGATAATACCATTTCTTTTGTTATCCACTATTGTGCTCTCTTGTCTTCCATTGGCTGATTTACCCATTTTTTCCCCTTTAATGAAATATGAGTCTTTTGTTGGCCCTCATACCCAGGCCTTTGGTGTCATCAAAAACGTGCATCCCAAATATTATGTAGCTTTTGTCAATCGGAATATCCAAGGATTAGTCAGCATGTTGAGGCAGTGGTTATTAGATTTCATTAATGTTCTCAGCTCTTCTGGTTATACGTCAAGAGATGAATCAGATATGATGTTTTTCTTTAACATGTCAATATCACCATCCATAGTTCAAAATGTAGGTTTGGATTTCGGTTACAGCTCTGAGTTGGAGACTGTTAGAAAGAAAGAAACAGTTGAAGGACGAAATTATCCGGTGAATACTATGGAAAGTGAGTTTGAACTTGATAAGATGGTTAGAAATGCCTTGGTTCGTAATGACATTGATGATGGTGAGAAGCTACATTTTAAGTTGTCAGATGTGAATGGAGATGGAACAAGAGATAAGATGGTGCAGGAGCAGGAAGATTATAAGTATGCCAAATATGAAGACCTCAATTCTCTTACTGACCTCAATTCTCAGACTAAGATGATTGATGTTGCCATTTCTGAAGAGGCTGATGGAAAAGGTTATCCTGCGGGATTTGAGATTGTGCAGGTGCTTGAAGAACAAATCCTAGTAGATTTGAAGCAAGAGAATAGTCACTCCTTCATAGACGGAAAGATCAAAGTTGGGCTCCCAGAATTGAATGGAGCTGGCGCAGGAGATGAAATGGTTCAAAAAGGAGAAGAGGATTACCATCCCAAGTATGAAGAAGGCTTCAGTTCATTTATGGTTCAACCTAAGAAGATTGATATCGCCATATCTAAAGAGGTTCATGGAGATGATTATCTTATGCAGTTTGAAGAACAAGCTCTAATGGGGTTGCGACAGGAGAATATTCACCTCATAAATAAAGACCACGTTGACTCATCCACTGAACTTGTAGTTGCTTCTCAAATGAAGAACCAAAAAGATGATGCTGGAGTTGTTAATTTCCTGTCTGAAGTCCAGCCTTCTGTTTTTGCTAACGCTAATTTGATTCTGCCAGTCTTGGGAGTGTTAGCTGCTGTGGTGCTTGCTATCGCATTAGTCTTTCTCCTTATGAAGCAGAAACATCTTCATGCTACTTCGTCTAAAAAACACTTGAATAAGAAAAATAGATCTGTTTCCGGTGGCAGTGTGAGTTGCAAAGATTTTACTAATGAATCTCCTTATCATAATCTGACAGGACTTGCTGAGGTTGTGGGTGATTCGGGTCCTACAGAAATGAGCTCTTGCCTGAACAGTAGCTTCTCTGTTAGGCATCAGAGGAAGAAAATAGCAAGTCATGAGGTGACTCCAAATTATGAAACTTTGCAAAGGAGGGAATCTGGAGTATCGTCTTCTGTTTCTTATGGAAGTTTCACTGCTTTTGAAAAAACCTCTGCTAGAAAGGTAAGTTAGATTTGTGCTACGTACTTGACATTTTTTTGGGAGCTCAAAGCTCAGGAGATGACTTATCTTTGAGTTTTGAACTGTTTATGCAGGGCGAGAAAGATGATGAAGTAATGACGCCTGTGAGGAGATCAAGTAGGATTAGGAATCAAGCTATTTCTGGCTGAACATCTTTTACTTCTGATGTTTCTTTAGGAAGCTGACTATAATATATCATTAATAGCCATTTTCTCTGCACTTGGAACTTCTAGCTTCATGTAATCAGGCAATTTTTTATTGTCTACTGAAGCTTGGTTTGCTGAAACAGCTCTGTTTTAGTTCTTACAAGTTTATCTCCAGTTCTATATCTCGTCTAATTTTAAGGTATGTTATCTGAGAATTTAGTTAATCTTTAGAGGAAGCTGAATCTGAACTTGTTTGAATGCACTCACATTACATGTGATAGTGATTTCCCTAAAGTTTTATGCCATGCATTTCTAATACTTATTTCGTCTTGATTTCATGTGTAGTAACTTTTCGGAGAAGCTGAAACTGGATTCATCTATGGAATTCTTATATTGTTATGCATAGAAAAATAAATGGGTGTGTTAGTTATTTGTTTAAATAATTGTCATTAATTAAGTGGTTCAAATTATTCTTAGTAGAATCTGATTATAATTCAGTTTTTAAAATTGAAATTTCAATTTTGTTGTGTTCTTATTTTTTGGAATCCCTAAGTCATTTCAGATTATAAAAAAAAAGGAAGAAGAAACGTACTAGTTGATCTTTGTAGAATTTGATTGTGTTGATCTTGCATTGTTGACTCAGACCTCAATTCCATGAGTTGAGCTCAACGAGGAGCTTGTTAGGGAGTCGTGCGCCCCTTGCTTAGGCCGATAAACTATAAACCAGGGCCAAGAGATGTGGAACCTGGAATTTAATTTGGAAGAATTATTCTTTTGTCTTTTAATAAACACTTTCAATAAACAACAATCATATAAATAAAACAATGGATCAAACATAACTATATATATCAATCATTTCATAATCTATATAATCGTACCATAACTATTCTGCCATAAGACAAAGAACCCAAGGAATCCTGATCAATCTCATACTTTTGAACCCAAAGAATCCTGGTCAATCTCATACTTTTGAACCCGAGGAATCCTTTGAGACAGAGAGTATGCCATCATATCATTGTGATGCGCTGGAATTTAATTTGAAATAATTATTTTTTTTATCTTTTAATAAACACTTTTAATAAACAATAATCAATATTAAAAACTTTTAATCTATTAAAATTTTTTTATTAATATAAATATCGGCAGAAATAAAACAATGGATAAAAAATATCAATATATATAATGAGTTCAAGAGCCCAACAAATAATAAAATCCTACAACATAACTCAATGTACGACAAAAAATTAATATGTATGTCAGTAATCAATTCACAGTAGTAGTAATTAAATGATATGAATCAGTGCAGAAATAATAAAGCTCACATGCAGTAGTAGTAGAATATGTAAATAGTAAAATAGTATGTTATAGAAGCCAGTAAAACAATACATTATCAGTACGAGTATCAAATCGATAAAATAGTTAGCATATCAGTGTTATCAATCAATAAAGAAATTGTATAAAATGATAAAATCAAAGCATCAATAAAAACTGTCGAAATCATATCATTAATGCAGTAAAATTATATAGGAGTGTACACATATTATTCAATATGCACATGCAGTAATAGTAGAATATGTAAATAGTAAAATAGTATGTTATATAAGCCAGTAAAATAATACAGTATCAGTACGAGTATTAAATCGATAAAATAGTCACCGTATTAGTGTTATCAATCAATAAAGAAAATGGTAAAATCAAAGCATCAATAAAAACTGTCGAAATCATATCATTAATGCAGTAAAATTATAAAGGAGTGTACACATATTATTCAATATGTCACATGCTTAGTATATTGTGTCGTATACTTAATATTAATATCAGTGCATCAAGTAGTATCAGTGTTCGTATCGATAATAATAAAACTCCAGTGTCGTTAGTAAACCTAATGGTGCAGCAGCAGTAAAATAAATCCATACAATAATAGAAATAATGCATCAATAACATACATTTCAATAGTCAAACTAAACAAGTAAGAAGTCTTGGCTTAATCGATGTTTTTTCAGTATCATATCAATATTAATAAACCATTGACTCAGTAAATAGAGTTGTCACTCTTTGTCCGTCGACACAGTAATAACTCCTTATAACTTCCAATCTGTATCACGTGAATTAATAGAAGATAACATCAAATCATAATATTTAAAGGAAAACCAGTTGGCCCACCATCTTGTATATGTCAATCAATTTTCAACTAACTTTTACTTATCTTTTTATACACACATTATTCTCACAGTACTACAACAATAGTAATTTAATAGTGATAGTAAAATATCTACATGCATTACAAATGTATCACAGTAAATAAAACATAATTAGACTTAGTTCAAAAAATGTCAAAATATCCTAATGTAGGCAACCGAAAACCCCACTGAGTAGAAATTTAAATTTTCAGAAATGAACCAAAACACTATTTTTAGATGTCAAAATAAATTTCAGAATAGATAAAAATCATTGTTTTTTAAGATCACCCAACGAAAAATTTTAAATAAAAATTTAAAATGTTCATAATCTCAATTTTTATAACATTACATATAAAAAGTTACACTGTGAAAATTATCCATATTTTTTTGTAAGGAATATATAAATTTATTTGACTGAAAAATACTAAAAATATAAATTATTGATATCATAAATAGGATAGTGGTTCCTTACAATGAGATGAGCAACTCTTCTAACAGTTCGACTATCAAAAAGTATTCTATGACCTTCAAATTCTAACTTTATTCTCTCTCATCACTTTTCTCTCATTTTAAAAAATAGGAAAATATTTAGAAAATTTTGATGAAATCAATTTGCAAAACAGAAAGAATTTACACCAGTGCTAAACATTATGAAAAAATTAATTTAATTAAATAACTACAATATCTATGTTATGGTGAAGATGAATTATAATTTAGATTTATAATGACTCTTTTAATTAAATAACTACAATATCTATGTTATGGTGAAGATGAATTATAATTTAGACTTATAATGACTCTTAAAAAAATTATTTAATTGAGTCAAAATATGGGTTATTACAACTATAGCACTATAGTTCACATTGCCACGGAGTTGTGGGATAGGAGAGTTAGAGCCTCAATTATGGGTGTCAAAACGGGTCGATGGGTCAGCTTCGGATCGAACTCGAGTCGACTTGGGTTTAAACGGGTCAACACAATCCCAACCTGCTGTTACAAATGGGTCCGGATTTCCAATCCCGACCCACACGAGTTATCGGGTTGACTTGAGACCCATTTATTAAATGCGAACCCAAAGGCTGGGGCAAGTGTGCAAGGCGGAAGTTTTATTTGGTCCGGTCGACCGAATGAGAGAAACATTCGGTCGCAGGCAAAATCCCGCTATACCGAGGTGTACCGAGTTTTTTCAAAATCCCGCTGTACCGAGGTGTACCGAGTTTTTCGAAAAAAAACTCGGTACACCTCGGTATAGCGGGATTTTGGCTGCGACCGGATGTTTCTCTGCATCCGGTCGGAGAACGTAATAATTGTTCGTGCAGGGCGAGGGGTGTTGGCCTTGTTAAGCATTTCACTTTCGTAATTTTCTTGGACAAATTTCCTTGAAATTTTACTGTTTTCCCACGCAAGGAATCTCATTTTCTCTTGTATTTGTAATTTGTTTTCCCAGTATAGAAAGTGAGTTATTTGATGGTGCATTGTTCTTTCCTGTCCTGGAGTCTTACTTTGCTTGTTTATTCTCCATTACTGCGAACTGGGTTGCAGATTTTATGTCGGGGGCTTGGAATTCTGCCGCCAAAAAAAATTCTGCAGTGGCCATTTGCCCCGCACTGCGGTTCCTCTATTTCGCAACATCCCAGTAGATGAATACAATGAATTAGGATCGTATATGGACTTTTCATCGGGCACTGAAGAAGATATCTATGGTGGAAACTATTCACCGGAATCTTCTCCAGCTCAAAATGGTATTGGTCATTGGAGGATTCCTAATGAACGCACCAGAGCATCTTTACTATAGTGATGGTTATTCGGACTTTAGCTCATCGATGGAAGCTATGCGGCAATTGGCGAGGCAGCAGAGGAGCTTGAGTGGCTACTGGCTACACAGTGGAGGACTAAGAGGGAAGCTCGGACAGGGACCGACACCCTATGCGGATGCCGTGCGGGTTAAACTCGGGTTAATTTTGGGTTGCAGGTCAATTCAAATATGACCCAATTTTACAAACGGTTTGAAATCTTGAACCCGAACTCAATTCGTATGGACCCAAACCAGGAATTTGCTGGGTCGGGCTCAGGTTTTGGGTCTAGTCAGATTTTGACACCCCTAGGTTCAACATTATAGGTAGGGGTGTCAATTGTTGACACGGCCCGACAATCCGACCCGAATCTGACTCAAAAATCTGGGTTAGAATAACAAACAGGTCGGATTCGAGTTTCAATTTTCAACCCATTTAAAAAATGTGTTGGGTCTGGGTCAACCCGGTAACCCTAAATTGACTCGTGATGACCCGCATATGCCTCTGCTCGTTTTAATTTTTCCCACATGGGAAGGAATCGAGGGACCGGACATCCCGTCGCATCGTTGCCTGGCCAGCCGTCCGCATCGCTTGGCAAGCCGTCTGCATCATCGAGGGATTGGACCGCATTAGGCCAGGCTGGCCAGCCATCTCCGCATGGCCATTGTGCCGCCTTCGCGCCTGCACCGACGTCAATCCTGTAAGCGCGCCTGCACCGATTTCAATCCCGCTGTGCGCTTGCCAACCTAGCCTCGCGCCCCGCCTACCGTTGATTGAGACCCGCTCCGGCTCCGCTGAGCCCCAGATGGCAAATTGGCGAACCCGTGCATGATTCCTTGCTAGCGAATCGGGTCGGGTCAACCCGGTAACCTGTACGGGTCGGGTTCGGTTTAACAAACCTAACCCTTTTGCAAAACCAGATCGGATGAGTGTCAACCCGTTTATGGCTGGATCAAGTCAGGTTCGACCTGAACCGAAGTCATTGACCCGAATTGACCCCTAACTATATGTACAATGTCGCAGCGTTTCAAGTTGTGTTGAGAAATTTTGCTTCGTTGTTCCTATTATTTCACTTGAAGGATTTTGCATCCTTTGAAGTGTTGAAGTGCTTTTTTTTTGTTTGTTCTTAATGTAAAACTATGTGAGAAGTGAAGAGAGAAAGAGAGTACATTGTGAGTCGCAGTGCTATGAGACATGAAAGTTAGTGCTTCAGCACTGCACGAAAAGCATCGTAGCATTGTGGGCCGGGATAAGCAATTTTGCTTCCTTATTCCTGTTATTTCACTTGAAAGATTGCATCATAAATTCTACAAGTCTGAGTTATCATAAGACCCTTTATAGAAAGATATAAATATAATTTCATATTAATCATGTGAGTTAATATAATTTAATATAACCCCCAAGATAAATATAACTTCATGTTAAGTTGACTACGAAATCATCATAGTAGATGTGCGTATTGTTTAGATATTTGTGCATCATATAACAAGTCATCAAGCCATCGAAAGATGTCACCAAACTGATTATTAGGTGCGGAGTGCAGACGGGGAGAGCACCGTCTGCACAGACACAGGGTACCAAGCGGTACTTAGTGGTACCCAGCAGTACCTAGCTGGATTTTATACTAGTGTGCGGAGGGTTCTCCCCGTCTGCACTCCGCACCTAATAATCTCTCCACCAAACTAAGTGCAATGGGAGTATGAAATCTATTTGTTAATGTATAACACTACATCTAAAATCTTTATTTAAATAGCAAGTAAATTATTATTGGCATGTGTTTCAAGAATTTAAGAGAAAATTTGATAACAACCTCTTAGGATTGAAGGGGTTTATTGTTCAATCCTTTTTAAAGAGCCCCAAGTTTATTGTTCAAGAACCCTAAAAGGTTTTTAGAAGAACTTACTAACTAAGCATGGCTGTAGTTTATTTTCCATTGAGTATTTATGAACTTCAGAGCATGCTGATAAGTATTGAGGATTAACTCCTTATATAGTAAAATAATGCCACTAATGTTGGAGAGAGTGAATGATTGCATAAAACTCTCTTTCATAGGTAGAATATCTCTACCTTATATCATTCAAGACTATTGTATAATTTTATTAACCGGCTATACCTCCCATATCTACACCTAAGGCATCATATGTGGCCTCAAAATGTTTTGATAAAATCTTGGAGTCTAAGATTTGAAAATGAGATCACAAAAAATTTTAGTAAGATTCATGTAATTGTGATCACAAAAAAGTAAATTTATCATTTTCGAAGAGAACTATGATAGGAGATAGAATTATTGTAAATTTATTAATATATGTTTTATAGAAGTTATCTACGTCATTCTATCTCCTGACATTTGTAAAAGATTTAACAGTTCACCAATCTAAAATTGCTTTGATTTATGTAGGATCTACATTAGTCCACTCGTAAATACCATGAAATCAAGAGAAATGATTTCATTCTAACTATAGGAGCATTTTTTAAAGTTTTATATAAAGCTTGGCTTCTCCAAGTTTAGTCAAAACCAATTTTAAGTGATCAAGATGCATTTTCCTTCTCACTGGCATGAAGGATTATAATTTAATGAAACTATAAATAAAAAAATTTATATATAAAAGGCTTGAAAAATATATTCATTAATCCAATGAATATATTAGGGGCATTTGATAATCCGAAAGGCATGCGAAACTATCTGGGATTTTGAATGATGTCTTTTATTTATTTGCTAGTATGATCATGATTTTATATTATCTACTTTTTATATCTATTTTGGAGAAATAATTTGAACAAATAGTAAGTTCTAGTGTATCATGTAATTTAGGGGTTGAAAATCTGTACATAATAATTACTATTTTTACTGCTTAATTATATATGCATACTCTTTAGTTATAATCTTTTCTTGGGTCAATAATGCTAGAATTGTATAGGGACTCAATCTTTCTTTGAAGAAGCCTTTTCTTAGCAATTCATTATCTTATATTTTGATCTCAGCATGCTCTACTGAGTTAATTCTATAATGTGTGAGATTTGTTAACTGAAAATCAAACATAAAATCTATAGTATAGTTGATGTCCCTCTTGGTGGCAATCCATCTAGTACATCATTATGTAATTGATTATTAAACTAAGATATCATATTTGAGATCATAGCATGTATGTGGTATGATCAGGTGTGACTTATTTCAAATGTTTGTGTATGACTTAGATTTATTGCTATAAACTTGATGCATGCTATTAATAGCTAAAATAGCCTATTTTGATACTTTTTCTTTGACAAAAGATGATTTGTATGGTTGTATGTTGCATTCTAACAATGATGATGGTGTGAACACGTAGATAACCACAAAGAGAAAGATTAAGGAGACCATCATCTCAATTATCATGAAGTTCTTCTACCGTTTTGAGCGGATTCAAACAACATTATGTATGATTAAAGTGGAAAATTTGTTAGTGCTATTGCTAAGTACCTATACACCTCAAATTAAAATTAAGGACTAATAATATTAATATATCATAGATAAGAAAAGGCTATGCCCCTCAATATTGATGGAGATAGAGTTGCTTATTCTTTATTATACACTATCAACGAATGATCTCTTGAAGCAGACCACCGACTAATTCCAATCCGTTAACATACTTAATTAAAAATACTATACAAACTAATAAACCTTACCTATGAATCACGACCATGCATTCTCACTATCCTTAGTTTAAAGTGTGAAATATAATAGTAAGTTGGAGCATGCCAAAAGTGTGAGTACATTTATAAGCATATGCGGGTTCAATGAAGGCACCCGATGTTGTGTAATTACAAAGTAGTATGACATAATGATTCTTCAAAATTCTTTTAAGATAAAGGTGCAAACAAGAAAGACAAAAAGGGGAAAAAAATAAAATGATAAGGCTAGAGGGATAATGAACGGTTTTAATTATACATGTCCAACTTATTTTATGTGAAATATAACAGTGTGTTAAGTAAAGTGTCTTCTTTTAATAGACTAGATAATATATTCTTATTCTAATCTTCAACCATGACCAAAATTGTTGTTATTAGCCTTTATTGGGGAAGCTACATTATTGGCCTTGAATGATGATCTGTTGTCATCTAAGTTGGTTGTATGTAGCTCAATCAAGAGTTGTACAACCTTGTTCATTGATGGACGAAGTGCTGGTGAGTTACAGGTGCAACGGAGTGCTACATGCAGCATCTTTATCATCTCTTCCTTGAAGGGGCTCCATGATAATCTTTTATCCAATACTTCCAATGCCCCTTCTTGTTTGGCCAACTTGCTCCATACCCAAGAAATGATATCCTTGTTGCCCCCAAACTCAGCTTCAATGGGCTTCTTCCTTGTTATCAACTCCAAGAGTACAACACCAAAGCTATACACATCACACTTTGTAGTTGCTTTTGATGAGTAGGCATACTCTGCAATGACAATTGAATTATTGAAAAGAAAAATTTTCAACAATTCTAGTAAGACTAGTAAGGTAGCTAGCTACCTGGGGCCAAGTATCCATAAGTGCCAGCAATTATATTTATGGATGTGCTATCCTTGGCTCCTGCTTGTAGGACTTTAGCTATTCCAAAATCAGCTATCTTTGGTTCAAATTCTGCATCAAGAAGTATATTGGAGCTCTTAATGTCACAGTGAACAATTGGGAACAAGAGATCATGGTGAAGATAAGCCAACCCTTGTGCAATCCCGAGCGCAATCCTATGCTTTGTAGGCCAGTTCAAGAAGCTACAATGATTGTGAAGAGCATCCCATAGATTTCCATTTGGCATATATTCATAAACGAGAAGCTTGAAATTTAAACTTGAGAGGCAACAATAGAGCTTTACAATGTTAATGTGTCTTATGCTTCCTAATGTTTCTATCTCTGTCTTCAATTCCCTCTCAAGATGAAACTTTTGTGGGGAAGAAGGATCCTTTGTCTTCCTAGTCAAGATCTTCTTTACTGCTACCCACTCTCCATTAGTCAGCTTAATCTTGTAAACTATTCCAGATCCTCCAAGTCCCACAATGTTCTTATCAATCAAAGCTGTAAGGATTTCATGTTGATCGAAGTTGAGCTTGTGGAAGCTCTTTACGTCGTAGGAAAAAGAGGAGGATAGTAAGAGACAATCCTGCTTGTTGTTCTTGTTCTTTCTAGTTGATCGGTGCTTAACGAGTAGTAGGATTGTGAACATGGATAGAATTGTAGAGAATGAAATAAACCATATGTTCTTTAACCGCCTTCGAAGTTTTGGCTGTGGACAAAGGGGAAGAATTGGTTCTGTGTGGATTAAATGGATTGGAATGCAAAGACTTGGATTTCCTGAGATACCATGAATGAGCCCTTCATTTATGAGGGGAAGAGGAATTGGTCCAAAAAGATGATTGTTTGAGAAATCTAAAGAAATTGGAAGCAGGTTACAAAGGCTGTTGGGTATCTCCCCTGTAAGGAAATTATTTGAGAGGTTAAGCACATGGAGGGACTTCAAGTTTGAAATTGATCCAGGAATGGAAGAATTAAGCTTGTTCCCCTGCAAGGATAACTGGTTCAGTTGTCTCAAGTATCCAATCTCAGGTGGTATTGAACCGTAGAAGAGATTGTTGCTAAGATCTATCTTGACTAAATTAGTAGCCCAAGATATTTCAAGTGGGATTTGTCCAGAAAATTGATTGTTCTGCAAGAACAATGAAGTTAAATTCTTTGCATTTCCAATAGAATTATCCACAATTCCTTCAAATTTATTGAAGCTAAGATCAAGAATGGAAACATGAGTAAGAGCAAAGAGCTTTCCTGGCACATAACCATTCAATTGGTTGTTGCTCACTCTAAACCGCAACAAAGATTGGCATCTCACATAATTATCTGGTAATTCTCCAGAGAAATGATTTTCAAGCACCAAGAAGTATAATAACATGCCCGCAGCACATGTCTCTCTTGGAAGCATGCCAGAGAAGTTATTTTCTGAAATATCCAACACCATCAGCTTTGAGAACTTCCCCAAGGTGGGTGGTAGCTCTCCTGAAAGGAAGTTCTTGTAGAGAGATATCATGGTCAGTGATGTCGAATTTCCAAGCACTGGCGAAATTGGTCCTGTAAGACTATTGTTATAGAGCTGTAAGACCTTGATCTCTGGAAGCCAACAGAGGCTCTCAGGTATCCTTCCAATAAGCCTATTTGAAGATAAGTCAATATCGATGAGCCTTGATAGGTTTCCAAGCTCCTTTGGTATTTCTCCTTCCAATAGATTATAGTAAAGTTCCAAAAACTGGAGGTTCTTCATCCTTCCAATGGTTGTTGGAATCCGGCCAACAAGTAAATTGCCACTGAGCTCAAGGTCAGTGAGCCATGTCATGTTCCCAATCCATGCAGGGACTTCTCCTCTCATGTAAGTGGTGGAAAGAATCATTGTGTTGAGCTTCTTCAACTTAGTTATAGCCTCTGGCAGCTTCCAGATATTGAAGCCTGGGTTCTGGTTGAAGTTAACAACCTCAAGATTAGTGAGATTAGTAATGGAAAGTGGAAATTCACCACAAAAGAGATTATCTGAGAGGTCAAGAATACGAAGAGTGTGAAGAGGGGAGAGGTCTGGGATGGTTCCGCCGATGCCAGAGTGGGTGAGGTTGAGCTCCTCCAGATGAGAGCAATTAAGAAGGTCAGCAGGGAGGTCACCATGGAGGTTGTTGAAGCCCAACCTAAGAGCTCTAACTAGTGGCAGGGAGGTGCATATAGTAGAGGGAATGGTGCCTATCAAAGACCAAGAAGAAAAATCAATCTCAACAATATTTTGATGTTCATCGCAAGATATACCGTAGAACCCACAGTAGCTGTCGGCAGTGAAATTCCACTGGGAGATAGCTTGGCCGGAGAGAGATTGTGTCAATTGGAAGAGGAAGTTAGATTGGGATTGGAAGGAGAAAGAGAGGAGAGGGAGGAAGAATAGGAGGAGGAGGAATTGAGTGAGAGGCATAGTGTTTGATAGAGAGCTTGAGTGAGGAGTCAGTTGGTGATAGTTTTCACATTTGAGATGAATAAAAAGGAGAGAGAGAGAGTTTGGAGTTGTTTATGTGTGTGTGTGAAGAAGAGAGTGAAGGAGAAGAAAGTGGGAGAATCATTGCCTACAGTGTAAGAATAGAAGTGAAGATAAAAAGGAGGTTGCATGAGCTTTTATTAAAATTGCATCTATAAGTGCTATCTTTTTACTACAAATAAAGCTAAGGAAAGAAAGAAAAAAAAGTTAAAGATGGCTTTGTGGTTTTAATGATCGCTGCTGCCATATCGCAAGCTCCTATTAGTGTTTGTATTATTATTATTATTATTGTGGGTGGGAATTAGATTTGCAAGTGGATGATTCAGTGGAAAAACATTTAGATTGAACAGAAGATGCTGCATTTGTTTCAGCCCTTCTTTTTCTCTTTTGCCTCTGTGTTTATCCTTTATTTTTTTATTTAGATTCGTGGTTTTAATAGTTTTTAGTCAACTCTGTCATGCATGATGTGTTGTCTAAGGATTTATTTGATTACTTATTAATAAAAATAATATTTTTTTAAAACCGCACATTTTTTATTTATTTTGAGCATAAAAATAAATTTATTTTGTTAACAAAAACTTTTGCATTTTTTTGTTTATGTTAAAACTCATGTTGATTTGAAATTATATGCAACTAAATGATGTAATTTAATTAATTCAATAATTTTTTTTTTCATAATTTATTTTCTAATTTCAACCAGCAAAAGGACTCGTAATACAATTTGTATTCCTATTAATAATTCTCAAGAAAATTAACTTATTATTATGAATGTTGATACATTATTTATATTAAAAAATTTTAGAATTAAAATTCGAACCATTCGAGCAGTTATTTTAACATATTTAAAGTAAAACTGAGCATCTTGACAAGGAGAGCGATTTGATCCAAATCTAAATGAGCCTAAATCAAACACTTGAAGTATATTTGAAGTTTTCGGGACATTAATTGAGAGATCAAACGATCTCCAAATATTGCGTGCTTATGATCAAATCGAGCGGCTTGATGACACAAATCCAAAGAGCACAAGACCACTTGATTCTAAGATCAATAAGACACATAAATACTAAATGAGTGATTTATGATCAAAGATTTTAATATGAGTCGTCCGATGTAGTCTTATGAAATTTTGATCAAAATTTACAAAGCTGTCAATATCAAAATACTTTAAATAGAGTTATATTCTTCACATAAGGGGGTTCAAGACTTGTGTTTGGAGAGAATTTAGAGACTTGAAGAATTCTAGAGCTTTACTTAGACATTCAACACTGATGACACAACCCGTCTCTGTTGTCGTCTATTTGTTGTCACCAAATTTCTATTGCTTGATTATTTTTATCTAACTACAGTCGTTGCTCGACCACCACTATTTGATGATCACTCTCCGATTGCCATAATCCATTCCTCATTATCTGATTGCCAACGTCGGACAATCATAATCCAACAATGATCATTCGATCATGGTCGTCTGTTCATTATTGTATAAGTGGCATAATCACTGACCATCATCATCCCTCACCTATTTTCACCATAATTTCTATTACAATTATAGGAGACCAAATAAGTACTCTTATTTTTGTAATAATGACTTCTCTAGCTGCCTCTCCTTTATATGTGTACATGTTGAATCCTCATTATATATATATATATATATATATATATATATATATATATATAATTGATAAATCCTTTTTGGAATATAAATATAATTTGCATTAAAGTGGATATTTTTACATTGAGACATAATAAACATTGAATTTTATAAATTATGTAATATGATAAACACTATTAAATAATTTTTATATTGAAAAATCTCATATTTTATGAATTATTTATAATTGTTATAGTAAATTGTTTATTTTTATTCTTATTATTATTTTTGAACATATTTATGTCTGATGCCTTATCATTTATATTTTACACTGCAATATTTCATCTAATGAGTTTGTTTCTTGTTAATTCATCCTCATTATTTTATGATTTTCAAGTTATTAGATGTGCATGTATCATTGTTGTGTTTTTTATTTTTATTTTTTAAGGCCCGATAATTGTTTGTGACAAATTGACCCTCCAAATGACCTTAACAAATTTTCAATTACACTTCTAAGTACTTGATATGGGCTTCATTAGGAACAATTTTCTTATTGCTTTATAAAGCAACTTTTTAGTACAAAAAAGTTTTTGAACTAAAAATTTTTGTGCAATAAAGCTGCTTTAAAAAACAGTAAGAATATTATCCCAAATGAAGCCATAAACTTATTTGTACTCGTATCCCAGAATTTTTCACATCATTGGATTTATCTTATTGAATCATACCATCCCGACAAGAAATCAAATGATCCCAAAATTAATTTTTGAAGTTAATACCCAAATAATTTGGTGATTTAAAATTTTAAAATTACACCAAAATCAATGTTTAATAAATTTTCTAATAATATATGAAGTATAACTATGCATTCAATAAACTGATTTGTACTCGTATCCGAGAATTTTTCACATCATTGGATTTATCTTATTGAATCATACCATCCCGACAAGAAATCAAATGATCCCAAAATTAATTTTTGAAGTTAATACCCAAATAATTTGGTGATTTAAAATTTTAAAATTACACCAAAATCAATGTTTAATAAATTTTCTAATAATATATGAAGTATAACTATGCATTCATGAGCACAAAATATATCCAAAAAAAAAAAAAATCTTATTTCTAGTTGAATCAAACATGCCACTATGTTAAAAAGATCGCTAGCTATGATTGCTAAGATGGAGCGTGATAGCCTAAGGTCAAAAATGGAGGACAAGAGTGAAGCCATGATTCCACTCGTTAATTGAATAATCAACTTCTTCTTAATATAGTGCATCTACATTCGCATGAAATCTCCACTTAATGAATAGGCTAACGGCTAAAATAATAGCTGCAATGATTAATTAGAGGACTTAGGTTTTGTTTGGAGTTGACTTTCTTATTATTTTTAAAATATTAAATATTAAAATTTTGAAAAATTTACATAAATACCATTTTATTTTAGGTTATTTACATATCTAACACCCAAAACATTAATATTACATACCTACCACTCATATACAACTTTAATATCAAATATACCACTCCTATAATTCATTTATATCATTCATACAATCCTCTAAATTTTAATATTTCATTCCATGCACTCAAATTTGTTCTATGGGTGGTAGTCATATAATATTAATATTTTAGGTGTTAGATATATAAATATCATAAAAAAAGTGGTATGTATGTAAAACCCCTTAAAATTTTTTACTAAAAAGTTGTTTTAAGAAGTAGTAAAAAAGTCGTTCTAAACGAAGCCTTAGGCTATTATATATATATATAGTAGAAGAAAAAAATTGTAGAAGAAAAATAAAAATAATATGTACAAAAATAAAGAAAACTTCATATAAAAGAAGCATAAGGAAAAACTTTAGCGGTTGTAACCATGAAGGAGGAGAGGTTAGAGCAAAGCAAAGTTCCAGAATGAGAGAGGGCAGGAGTGTTTTAGGTTTTGTTAGAGACAATTTTTTTTATCACAAAAGATTCATAAAAGCATAAAAAAAGCAGCAACTGAAAGCTGTCCCAAACAAAATGTTAATGTAGAAGAAAAGGCTTATAGAAGTGATTTTAACAACTACAAAGTATCACCATGCATGATTTTAATCTCTACAAGTAGTTGTGATTTAAATTGTTGTTGATTAGCAATGCTGAAAATTATGTAATTTGTTCATTATAAGAAAATCAGCCGGCGGACTTTATGGTGGAATAATATTTGTCAAAAATGTCGGTGGAATAATATTTGTCAAAAATGCCAATAGTTTTATCGATTTTTTAGCAGAATTTTCGCTGCAAATTTGTTGTTATTTGCGGAGGAATTTGTGGCTGTTTTGTAATGTGAGCATGTCATTTTTTAGATATTAAATTTGTTATAAATCCGTCGTAAATTCGGCGCAAAATATTTTCTACAGATTATATCCGGCGTAAATATTTTTCCGAGTCGAGTTTTAACGTTAGAATATAATCCACCGCAAGGCTTATTTAAGAAAAGATTTGGCTTATTTTGCGGCCGATTTTTCTGCTGGAAATTGATTATTTTCTAGTAGTGGTTGAAATTTATAACTTTCCACTAGTGGTTGAAATTTGTAGCAATTTTAAACGGATGCTAGCAAGTGTTGTTATAAATTTGCACTTTTAGTACTGCAAGAATAATCATTCAAATCTTATGAGCTTTCTTACTGATTTCTAAAACAGTTTTTTAGCTTAAAATTTTTTCTAACAAAAAATTTTGGTTCTAGAAAGCTGTTTTAGAAAGCAATAAAAAAACCATCCCAAATGAACCTAATCATGAGCTCGATCTTGAACTCAGTTAATTAATCAAACTCAAATTTAAGATTTAGATGGCTTTGAACTCATTTACAAGCCTAAATATCAGCCTACATCTATGTAAGCGTGTAACCCACCTTTCATACAGATTATGGATAAGTGCTTATCTTTTAAGCTAAAGTAGATGCCCACTCCAAAAGCTACTAATAATTAATTCTCAGTGGGAAGCTGAATAAAGAAAGATTAGGGATAATTTGTACTTTGGAAAAGCTTCTACTTATTTGGATTTAAAATATTTTCCTTAGTTGAGAAGCTGAAGAAGGGTTTCAAATGTAATTGCTCACTTTGATTTCACAATCCCTTCTTATGGTAATATTAAGTATGATACTTTTGTCATTTTTTTTAGGCTAAGAAATTTTTGTAGGTTTTAATGCATGAAAATATGATTATTTATGCATCATAATACCTCCATTAAGTTAATCTCTTATATTAGTGGAGTTGAAGTTCTTCAAAGCTGATTTAAACCTAATTCAAGAACTAGCTACAAGGGTTTGTTTGAATATCTTGTTGTGGAAAGGGGGGAAGGTATTAATGGGACTAAAAGAGTGTGATAGAGAAGAGGAGTTTGTAAGGTCGCTAGGAAAAGGACTTGACCACCAGCTTATGAGTGGGGGTAGAGCAGATGGTGACAGAGCTTAATGTGGTGAGGTGTCGAGAGGATTGATGATATGCGAATAATAAGAGGGCTATGTGACATGAGCTCATTAAGGCTTCGTTTGAGACGGCTTTCTTTCTGCTTCATAAAGAAGCTTTTTAGTACAACTTTTTTAATTTTTGTACTAAAAAATTGCTTTATGAAGATGGAAGAAAGCCATCCCAAACAAAGTCTAAGAATGGGGATGAATTGGATCAACGATGTGTGAAGGAGAAAAGGGTTTAAGTTGGGGGAGCTTGAGAGGTTCAAATGAAATTCAAACATCGGGGGTTTATATGAAA